CTATGAAAACCCCCTTGAGGGCGCCTGAAGGAAAGGAAAGAGGGATATATATATATATATATATAAACCTAAAATATAGACGTGGGGGAAAGCCAGAAGGGAAGCCAGGGCCGCCCTCAAAGGGGAAGCTCCACTTCCCCGCCCGCCATAAGAACGGGGCTCTTTCGCGGCGAGGAAAGGCTTCGCATCCACTCTTCTCCTCCTCCTCCTCCTCCTCCTCCTGCAAAGCGAAACCGCTTGGGGAAGCACTACTTCCGGGTTAAAACAATTCTACTTCCGCCAAAAGGGAGGCCATGGCTCCAAAGGCAAGGGAAAGATAACTTCCGGCGAGGAGGGGGAAAGAGCACGCAGCCCCGCCCCGTAAGGGCGGAAGTCGCTCCTTACCGGCTTTACTTCCGCCCTCAAATCGATGCCAGTGTAAGATTGGTGAATGTTGGAGCCCAGGGAAGCGTTGCTGTTGTTTGTTGTTGTTGTTGCATGTACGTGTGTTGTGCTGCGTGTGCTTTGTTGGGTTGTTTTATATGTTTTTGTTCTCTCTTTTATTACAGTTCTGAGCCAGCCAGGTTTCTAAACGGGAAGATAGGCGGTATCCAAATGTTTTAAATCTGGGGTATCCACTATTTGTAACTTAGACCTGTGGACTTCAACTCCCAGAATTCCTCAACCAGCCATGCTGGCTGGGGGAATTCTGGGAGATGAAGTCCACAAGCCTTAAAGTTGCCACTCTTGGATACCCGATTTAAATAAATTGTTTTTTTTTTTAAAAAAATCTGGGGCTACTTATATTTCTACCCTAAATATTTGGAGGGCTTTATCGATTGCCGGAGATCGGTGGAAACCGTGGGAATATTGGTGGTTTTTAGTTTGCTGTGAAACTCAACTAGATTTAAATGCTTTAATATCGGTTATATGGCGGGGAGGGGGTGGGAATTGGTGGAAGTCTTTTATATTTTACATTTCAAAACAGCGCAAATGGTTCCTGTAGTCTGCAATTTTTCTGGAAATCCGTTCATATTCCCACCCCGTTGGGATGAGCGCCATTCGAATGGCGCGGGAGCGTGAACGGATTTCCAGAGGAAAAATTGCAGACTACAGAAACCATTTGCTCCAACACATCTCAACAACCTGCGCCTGTGTTCAACAACGAAGGGACACCAGGCAGAAAAACATCCTGCAGCCAAGAAGGCTCCACATCCTTTTTGCACTACTCGGGTGACCCTGAGGACACAGACAAATCTCCAAGTGGACTCAATGACTTGCTAAAAGGATGCAAATGACCAGCTGTCTGCAAGGAGTATAAATCCTTCCATTCCCCACCATCCAGTCAGAGTGTCAGGTTTCGATGTCGTCTCAATTAAAATAAATTGCATTTCCAAACAAATAGTCTTTGAAGAAACCTTTCATTTTATTAAGCACGACAACCTGTCCCCGATTGTGGCGTAGCCAACACTGACTTCCTGACCCCAAAACCTTCCCTTTCCGTTCCCCAATTCTCTGCGTCTCATTGGCCCTCTTCCCAATTCACTCTCCCCATATCTCCCACTTCAGCTCCCAGGAATGTCCCCCCTCCCATCTCATCTCCTCGGAAACATTATCTCCAGGGAAAATAAGTAGGTGAGAAGTCAAGCGTCCTCTTGCCAGCTGCCCCCTCTTCTCCTTCTTATGTCAGCACTAGAGTAAATGCAGGTTGAAGTGCTGACACAGAGCTGAAGAAGCTTCTTGGAGGAGAAGGGAAGCATCTTCAAAAGAAAAATCAAGGAAGTCCAGTTGCCTCCTGAAAAAAGCACTTTTGGGAGAACATCTAATAAGTGATGGTCACAGACAGGAGAATGAGTCAGGAGGAGGCAGCACCAGGCTGTCTGTGAGGCTTCTAGAGGTGAGCAGGCTTGGTTTAATACCTAGAAAGGGTACTGAGGAATACCAAGCAGAAAAATGTCCCAAGGGGTGATGAAGCAAGTCCTCAACTTATGATTACGATTGGGACCACTGCTAAGCAAGGCGGTTTGTTCAATGAATCGCGCCTGATTTTACCACCTTTTTTGCCGTTTTTAAGGTCAGACGTTTATCGTTCCCCGAAATCAAGACATGAACATCAAGGAAGACTTCATGAATAATTTTATTCCATTCGAATGTTCGTTCTTAAAAAGTATAGAAACCGGTTTCCATTTCCTGAATCACAATTTGTACAAGTTGGCATTCTGCAACAACACTTTGTTCCTAATTTCTTTTTTTAAAAAAAATTTTCATCCCGTTTATCATAATGTTCAATGAAGACTTGAAGCATTAAAATACTGGAGGAGGGGGAAAAAAGCATTAAATGATACTGAAATAAGAATTCTCCGCCCATCCTGTTAAAGTGATCCAGCTTTTGTTTTTTTTTAAAAACACAAAACCAACTGTGAAACTAATATTTCCAGGAACTGTGCTTCTTTTAATGCCAAGTTCTCAGATGTGGTTTATTTGGAAAACCTACTAGTTATTAACATTTTCTTGAAAGTTTGAGTCGAAGGAATTTATTTTCTTCCGCTGAAATGTTACTCGCATAGCAACAAGTGCAAACTAATATTTCCTGCAAGTTATTTAGGGACTTCGCTTCATTGAAGACAGATGCTATTTTTAAGATCAGTCAGCTAAGGAGAAATTTCCTGACAGAACAATTCATCAGTGGAACAACTTGCATCCAGAAATTGTAAACGCTCCAACACTGGAAGTTTTTATGAAGAGATTGGACAACCATTTGCCTAAAATGGCATAAGGTTTCCTGCCTAAGCAGGGGGTTGGACTAGAAGACCTCCAAGGTCCCTTCCAACTCTGTTATTCTATTCTATTCTATTCTATTCTATTCTATTCTATTCTATTCTACGAGTTGAACTTCACTTGGAGCGACATTTCTTTTATTATTCTTCTCCCAAATTACTCGCTCTGCCCTGGTGTTTTGAAGTTCTAGAACAGTGGTTCTCAACCTGTGGGTCGGGACCCCTTTGGGGGTCGAACGACCCTTTCACAGGGGTCGCCTAAAACCATCCGAAAACACATATTTTCAATGGTTTTAGGAATAATTTTATGGTTGGGGGTCACCACAACATGAGGAACTGTATTAAAAGGTCGCGGCATTAGGAAGGTTGAGAACCACTGTTCTAGGAGGAGGTTGGGGTGGAAAAACCCATTCTGCTAGTACGTAAAAGGGCAGACACTTATGTATAAAATTCAATCATTGGACAATCTTGAGAAATCAAGTCCAAAGACATCTCTAGCAGAATTGTCATTGGTTGAGGAACCTTGCGGAGTATTAATAGAATAGAATAATACGCAAATATTAATAGAATAATATGCAATGCCACAGGACTGCTATGCTGGAACAGAAAATGTTAATAGAATTAATATTAATAGAATAATAGACAATGTCACAGGAATAGAAAACCGTCAAGTGCAACTTTTGAACAAGTTTATATCAGAACGTGTTCGAATATACAGGTAGTTCTTGAGTTAGAACCGTTCGTTTAGTGACCATTCAAAGTTGCAACGGCACTGATAAAAGGTGACTTATGTCCATTTTTCACACTTACAACTGTTGAAAGCATCCCAGTAGTCACATGATCAAAACTTAGATGCTTGGCAATTGGCATGTATTTATGATGCCCGCAGTTTCCCAGGGCCGTACAAATAACCCTAAGCAACAAACATGCCTTAATATTCCTTTCTCCTCCTACTTTTCCCCCCATGGGTTGAGCTGAGAGAGAGAGGCTGGCCCAAAGTCACCCAATTGACTTCCATGCCTAGGGTGGGACTAGAACTCACCGTCTCCTGGTGATTCACCCAAAGTCACCCAGCTAGCTTTCATGTCTGAGGCAGGACTAGAATTCACCATCTCCTAGTGATTGGCCCATAGTCACCCAGCCCAGTTATAATCTACCAGGTGTTTCAACCACTGACTAGAGCAACAAGGGAGGGTGGGAGGGAGGGAAGAAGGAAGAAAGGAAGAGGGAAAGAGAAGGATGGAGGGGGAGAGGGATGAAGGAAGAAAGGAAGAGGGAAAGAGAAGGATGGAGGGGGAGAGGGACGAAGGAAGGAAGGAAAGAGATGAAGGGAGGGAGGGAGGGAGGAAGAAAGAGGGATAGAGGGAAAGAGAAGGAGGGAGGGGGAGGGAGGGAAGGAAGGAAAGGAGGATGGAGAGAGGGTAGAAGGAAGAAGGAAAGAAAAGGATGGAGGGACAGAGACGGAGGAAGGAAGGAAGGAAAGAGATGAAGGGAGAGTGGGAGGAAGGAAGATGGATAGAGGGAAGAGAAGGAGGGAGGGGGAGGGAGGGAAGGAAGGAAGGAGGATGGATAGAGGGAAGAAGGAAGAAGGAAAGAAGGATGGAGGGGGAGGGACGGAAGAGGAGAGGAACGGAGGAAGGAAGGCAGGAAAGAGATGAAGGGAGGGAGGGAGGAAGATGGATAGAGGGAAAGAGAAGGACAGAGGGAAAGAGGGACGGAAGAAGGAAGGAGAGGAAAGGGAGGAAGGAAGGAAGGAAGGAAGGAAGGGTCTATTGATAGAGTTAAAGGTAGCAGTGAAGAGTTTGTGGTTTTTTCACATCCTTTTGCGTTTTCATCCCACCAGGACACAACCGCAGAGTTAAAAGAGGAAAGGCCATGTACAGATAAGATTAAGAGTTTCCACTACAATGTGCAAGCAACAAAGATTAAATCAAGGCATGGAGAGAGGTAAGGGTTGGGTTTTGTTCTGTTTTTAAAAAAGAAGACTGAACTTGCATTCATGGAATCAATTCTGAAAGCGTCTAGTGAAAATCTATTTAAATTAATAACAAACTGCAGTCTTCAGATATCAAAATCAACTAGTTTTCTTACAGCTGCAATGGCTTTTACCATTTTTTAAAAAATGGCTTGAGCTAAGCTAACATTTCAGCCTGAAAGAGAAAGGTTTACGAGAGAAGCGATTTCCCCGTAATTCCGACCCCCCCCCCCCCCCGGAGAAGTTTGATTAGTGACAAACACAAATGCTTGAAAATGAAAGTGACACAGTTTATTGAGGGCAAGGGATTTCTTTGTTTTAGAAAAAAAGTGTCGCAATTTCATCAGATGACACAGATTCTGTCTTGGCTAAAATGCACACAGGGAAAAAAAACATCAGAGGCCCTTGTAGTTAAAGCACATCCTCCTTCCTCCCGAGAAACAGGGAAGGGAATCTGCCAAAGTTAGTCTCGGCCCTCAAACAGAAATACCAATAAAATAAAATAAAATAAAATAAAACAATTTATTATTATCTTCTTCTTTAAATTCTCACTACAAGTTAAACCACCTAACAATATCACTTTTATTTTTTAATATATTGCCATTATGTTAACTCTGCAAATGTGTGATATAAAATTGCTGTAAGACCTGGTACCTTTATTTTTTTCTTCAATTTTATATAAACACAGTGAACTTCATTACTGTACACGTATAATCTGCAACTACAGCTTAGCTGTAAATCTCCCACACACAAAGGTATGGACATTTCTATCCCTCCCCACCTTCCTATATTCCCCATTAAACTGTACATCAAGACCAAATACAAATTTTTGCGGTTCCCCAGCCCTCCCCACCCGCTTACAAAAAAATAACACTCTAAAAGCAATCTACCGCAACTTTCAATTAAGACGATTACAGATATAATTTTAGACCAATTGCTTTAAAGCAAGAAGGCAGTATAAACCTTCTAGGAAATTTTTTTTTTATAAAAGAGGTTAAGAAATATAAGACAATTTATACATTTAAAAACTTACAATAAATAAGAGATGCAGGCATTTTTTTTTTGAATACTAGATACTATAATCCAATACAAGAACATTGCAATGTTCCGAAAACGTTCCATAAATTTTTTTTTTGTCATTTCTCCCTCATTCATCATTTTTATGGTCTCCATGCTCATTCTTTTTTTTTAAAATATTTATTAACATGGCAGGGGCCTATGGCTCATAAACTCTTCACAAATACTGTGACAGGTTGATGGGCTGAAGGAGAATGGATACTTGGCTACTCAAAAGATGCGTTATAATACATGTCGACTGACCGGTTCACCATTTCGGCCAGTCAGATATACGCAATACACCAACCCAAAAAAAAAGAGAGAGAGAGAGAGGGGGGAACAAACAACCAGGTTATGCACCTCCCACCGAAAGTCACAATCCTTGGTAACAATGAAGGATGATTAACAGCTTCCCCCACTTCCATCTGCCCTCCATCACAAAAAAATGACGTTACAGAGAAGAATTAACTTTTGAGTCCTGCAGTGGAATCCTGTTTTCCCTTTTTCGGTTGTTGTGTCTGTTCTTCCATCTCGCAAAGTCGGTTTTGGATAAAGATCACAGCATATTCATGATAAAGTTATACAACTGATTCAGCACCACAAAGTGAATTGGGAGACACGACCGCCGGTCCTGGGTCGCAGGATCACAGGTGAGCCACGAGAGTGCATTGTACTGTTCCAACACAAACCTTGAGACGGAAACAAATCAAAACAGATCGTTAAAAAGGGAGGCCTTTTTGGTTTTCAGAAAAGCTCAGCAGGTAAAAAAAATCCAGTGACTCAACTTCCAAACTCCACAGGCAAACTGAAGTTCTACAGATAACAAGAAACTGAACATCCGTCAGGAGACAAGAGAGCTGCACTCAGCCCAAAGGTTATAGATGGTCCTCGACTTATGACCCACCTTTGAGCCCAAAATTTCCATTACTAAGCAAGACAGCTGTTAACTGAATTTTGCTCCATTTCTTTAGTGATAGCGGGTAAGGGAGGATAGGGGTTAAGGGAGAATCCTAGGGAGGATTCCTTTTGGGGTTGCTCAGTCTGGCCTCAAACCACAAAATGAGTGGCAAATTAATTTAATAATAATAAAAACCTGCCTATTCCAGGCTCTTGGGAGGAACATGATAGGGGTAAAAATGCCAAATCCAGTTTGAACATCTGGCTGACTATGCGAAAAGGAGGAGGAGAGGAGGAGAAAGAAGAAAGAAGGAAGGAAGGAAGGAAGGAAGGAAGGAAGGAAGGAAGGAAGGAAGGAAGGAAGGAAGGGGAGGAGGAGGAGAAGGAGAAGGAGGAGGAGAAGGAGAAGAAGAAGAAGAGGAAGAAGAGGAAGAGGAAGAGGAAGAGGAAGAAGAGAATGATCTTACTCCACATCCAGTTAAGGGCTCTACTGTCTGTTATCTGAGTTGGCTTTGTCTCTTGACCCAGTCTCCCAAGGTCTATAGCCATGATGGCAAACCTATGACTTGCGTGCCAGAGGTGGCACACAGAGCCCTCTGTGTGGGCACGCGTGCCGTCACCAGCTGCTCTTCGGGTTTCTGAAAAACAGCCCGAAAATGTCCCGAAAAAGGCCCTGAAAACAGCCAAAAAACAGCCTGAAAATTGCCTGAAAAATGGCCCAAAAAAGCCTGAAAATGGCCCAAAAAAAGGCCTGAAAATGGCCAAAAAAACAGGCATGCACGCGGCGGCCAGCTGACCTTCAGGTTTCCGGTGCTCCAGCACATGCACACGCATTTCAGTTTGGGCACTCGGTGTCGAAAAGGTTCGCCTTCACTGGTCTATAGACTATATCAGGAGTCCCCAAACCTACCAACTTTAACACTTGTGGACTTCAACTCCCAAAAGTTGAACAGCTGACTGGGGAATTCTGGGAGCTGAAGTCCACAAGACTTAAAGTTGCCAGGTTTGGAGACCCCTGGCTTATATGGAGATAGAAAGGCAAAATAAAACAAACAAGCAGGAAGCTACTTGACAGGTCAAAACTGAGAAGCGCCCAGTAGTGGATCTTGAAATAATGAAAACGCATTTCTGCGATAACCACACGTGCACACGCAGGGAACGTGCATACCTGAGGACATCGGAAGTTTGATTCGAGTCAAGAGGGTGGGAGTGTTTACTGTGAAGTAGCTCGTCCGATTGCACTGAAGGCACGTGGAGGTGCAAAGAAGCCTGTAAGAAGAAGCCAAAGCCCAGAGTCAGTGCTCAGCGTGAATCAGCTCATATGATCCTTTATCTCCCCATTCAATCTGCAATGGATACTCTTATCTATGGGGTGAAATCTCAGAAGTGAAAACACTAGGAATTGTAGCTTAGGCCTCGGAAATAAAGGCAGCAGTTCTGTGCTAGGTGTCCTTGGTTACAGCCGTCTCTTAAGGCTCGTGACTTGTTACCTCTTTGGGCAGAGAGACGGAAGTCCCCTCCTGCTTTGGAAAAGCAGCAGCGAGCTGTAAATTTCATGAAGCTATTTTTACAGGTATGTTGTAATACAGCACATATAGGACACTTCTTTTCTACCTGCCATAATCACAATGTCTTCCTTTACTATTCTTTCTTTTCTCCATTCTCTGTTTCTTCCTCCATTCTCTTTTCCTTTCTTTCCATTTCCTTCACTGCCTCAATCTCCTTTCCTTCCCTTTCATTCCTCTACTCTACGCTCCTTTCCTTTCTTTTCCTCCCTTCCCTTCCCCTCCCCTCCTCTTTCCTTTTCTCTGCCTCCCCTTTCTTCCCTTCCATTTTTTCCCTTCCTTTCCTCCCCTCTCCTCTCCTTTCCTTTCCTCTCCTTTCCCCTTCCCTTTTTCTTTTCCTTCCCTAACCTCTTCCTTTCCTTTCCTTTTCCTTTCACTTTCCATTCTCCTTTTGTCCCAAAGGTGCTTTTCAGAACTGAAGGAGCTTCTTGGATGAGAAGCAAAAGCTTAAAAAAAAAAAAAAAAAGACCCAAGAAAGTCCAGTTGCCTTTTTGGAAAAGCACTTTTGGCACACAACCTTGGCTCTCCATAGCCGCTCCTCTTTCCTTGCCTTGGCCCTTTCCTTTCCTTCCTCCATTCGCTTTCCCTTCCAAAAAGCATCCCTCGAAAATAACATGAGAAAAAGAAAAAGGGGCCTGTCCTGTTTTACGGCTTTAGCTCCTGGGTTTTTCCACATAATCTTCGACAAAACGCCCTTCCTATCCCCCAGCAACAGGAACTCCTTACCTTAAGAAACAGAGGACACTGATTTTGTGCTTGAGGACATGCCGACCAAAACCAGTCAGGCAACGGACCTGCTTTAGCAGTGGAGACGAAGTAGCCGAGGGCCAACGGCTGCTGAAGAATGTTGGGGACTTCATCGTGGGATTCGGTGGAGAGCAGCCGGTCGGTACCTTGACCCTGATACGACCAACAGAGAAAAACCGGCGTTTAGAATCAGCCTCAAATTCAGCAATTCAATGTTATGTTTTAGCTAGGGATCAGCTAGTTGTTTCCGGGAAACTTACAAGCAAGACTTGGGGAGCAGTCACACACACACACACACACACACACACACACACACACACACACACACTTCCTTACCCCTCCCAGCCACAGAGTCTACAGCCATCAATAACCTCGTCGCTTAGAAATTAGAAATATTGCTGAGCACATTGTAAGCCGCCCTGAGTCTTCGGAGAAGGGCGGCATATAAATCAAATTAAAAAAAAAATAAAAAAAAAATCTGTTAAATTCACCTTAAAAAGAATTTAAGTTGCTCACCGTTGCCCTATCTTCCGCTGGTCAATTTCATCAGGCACTATGTGAGTTTAACTATATAGTCTTTGTCTTACGACCGTTTGTTTCGTGACCGTTTGAACTTAACGGCATTGAAAAAAGTAATGTATCTCTCTCTCACACACACACACATATTTCCTTATCTCTCCCAGCCACAGAATTTGTAGCAGGGGTGCTATTCAGCAGGTTCTGACAGGTTCTGGAGAACCGGTAGTGGAAATTTTGAGTAGTTCAGAGAACCGGCAAATACCACCTCTGGCTGGTTCCAGAGTGGGGTGGAAATGGAGATTTTGCAGTATCCTTCCCCCTGGAATGGGGTGGGAATGGAGATTTTGCAGTATCCTTTCCCTGCCACGCCCATCAAGCCACGCCCACAGAACCGGTAGTAAAAAATAATTTGAATTCCACCACTGGTTTATAGCCATCAACAGCCTCATCGCCTAGAAATTTGTTAAATTCACCTTAAAAAAGGAGTTCACTTCCTCGCCATTATCCTAGAATTCTGCTGGTCAATTTCATCAGGCACCATGTGAGTTTAAGCATGTACTACAGGTAGTCCTTCGTCGTACAACCATCTGTTTTGTTAACTGTTTGAAGTGTTTTTGTTTTTGTTTTTTTGCTTTAATTTATATGCCGCCCTTCTCCGGAGACTCAGGGTGGCTTACAATGCGTTAAGCAATAGCCTTCATACTTTTGTATAATCCCTGCGTCCCCCCCCCCCATGCTTTTAGAAGCCTCTGACGATCAGGCAAGTCAGCTGGGATCGCCAGAGACTTTTAAAGGCGTTTTTTTTCCCTACAACCTCTTCAGCCAAGAGGTTGCAGAAAAAAATGCTTTGAAAAGCCTCTGATGATCCCAGCTGAGCCGCGTGATCATCAGAGGCTGTTTTTTTTTTAACTTTTAAAAGCATTTTTTCCGGCCGAAGAGGTTGTAGAAAAAATGCTTTTAAAAGTAAAAAAACCAGCCTCTGATGATTGCGCAGCTCAGCTGGGCATGGGGGGGAAGCAGGGATTTTTGCTACCGGTTCTCCGAACCACCCGCCTCCATCGCTACCGGATCAGGAGATCCGGTCCAAACCGGGAGCATTTCACCCCCGTATATACCACTTCAGAGTGCTTTACAGCCCTCTCTAAGCAGTTTTACAGAGTCAGCATCTTGCCCCCAACAATCTGGGTCCTCATTTTACCGACCTCAGAAGGATGGAAGGCTGAGTCAACTTCAAGCCGGTCAGGATCGGACTCCTGGCAGTGGGTAGAGTTAGCCTGCAATTTTGCATTCTAACCCATGCACCACCATGGCTCCTATTAAGTATTAGTTATCTGATAATCGTTTCGGTCTTGAATTAATTACTTAATATTAAAACAAACCTATAATTGTATATTTGGATGTTGAAAGCTCCCCCACTCTCGCCCCCAAGTCTTTTGAAGTGGATGGACATAACAACACCATCAAAGAATAGCAATAGCACTTAATATTTATATACCGCTTTGAAGCCCTCTCTAAGCGGTTTACAGAGTCAGCCTCTTGCCCCCAACAATCTGGGTCCTCATTTTACCGACCTCGGAAGGATGGAAGGCTGAGTTAACCTTGAGCCGGTGAGACTCGAAGTGCCAAACTGCTGGCCGTCGACAGTCGGCAGAAGTAGCCTCCAGAGAGCGGTGAAAATAATCTTGCTTTAGCAGGCATCTGGTGACTAATTATTAATATTCCTGTTTGACTGTACCGCACTAGGCTGCCAACTTTTTATCCTGCTGATGTGGAATTACACATATTATTTGTGTTTATCGTACTGCAAACTTCTTACCGCATTGTGTTTATTTTTACAGGTAGTCCTTGAGTTACAACAGTTTGTTTAGTGAGCGTTCGAAGTTACAACAGCACTGCAAAACGGGACTTATGACCGTTTTTCACATTTAGGACTGTAGCAATATCCCCAGGATCACATGTTCAAAATTCAAATCCTTGGGAACTGACTCATATTTATGACGGTTGCAGGGAGTCACGTGATCCCATTTTGTGATCTTCTCACAATCAAAGTCAATGGGGAAGCCGGGTTCACTTAACAACTATGTTACTAACTTAACAATTGCAGTGATTCATTTAACAACTGTGGCAAGAAAGGTTGTAAAATGGGGCCAACCCCCACTTAACAAATGTTTTGCCTAGCAACAGAAATGCTGGCCTCAATTGTGGTCATAAGTCAAGGACCGCCTGTATAGATATATCCTTCCCATGCATAATTCCATAAATGTGTATTACATTTTCCCTTACTTCCCCTTTTTCCAGAACAATATTTGCTTGTGAGGAATGATAGTTCAACCTGCTGATAATTTTGGTTGCTATTTTTGCCACCGTCTCCAGCTCTATATTTTCCTTTTAACATGCTACAGTTAGAGCTGAGTAGCATATTGTAAAGGTGATCACACTATAAGTAACGTTGCTTTCAAGTCGTATTTAATTCCTGGTGGCTAGAATGGCCCGTCCCTGCTCTTATCTTGACAAAAACATGGAAGTTTTTGTCTTCTTCCAGGGTTCTGTTTTTTGATTCCCAGAATAGCCTATAAACCTAGAGGTTTAGGAGTTGAGCAGGCTGAATTGGAGGGCGGGGTTAAACGCGTCATCAATTTGGAATCATTGCACATCCACAAGAGAACCAAGTCCAGCCCTCCATGAATTACACTGACCTTTATCTAACATCAACTGAGCTTCAACTGTTAACTGACCAGATTGTGGTGTATAGGTGACAAAAATAAACTCTTAGTGCTTTGAACTCCACTCCTCTCCCTGGTTAATTGCGGCCGATAGGAGGTTTCCAATTCAAGTGCTTACTTGGTGGAACCCTGCTTAGCCTTTTCAAGATTAGCTCGGCCACCTACTATGATAATCAAATTATAGTTTTGTACATCTGATCATCCTGCCAAGCATCATCATCATCATCATCATTACTGTAAACCTGTAAGCATTGGCTGCAGAAGCATTTAAGTATTCTGAAGTAATCACTATATCCAAGAAGAAATTTCAATCAGGTCAAAAAAAACCCCTGTTTTCTCATGCAAAGTTACCTTGCCCATATCACCTCCGTGGGGGAAGTGAGAACCTGGTGAGTGAACAGGGGACCCTGTTGGGGATGCAGGAAGGATGTTTATGATATCAGGGTCCAGGTCATCTCCAGTGTCCAGCAAATCAAAGATTCCCATTCCATCTGCTCCATCTTGAAAGAAAAGATTCACAGAAATAGAAAAAAAAACGTTGACTAAGGAGGAGCAACTCACATGTTTTTATTTTAAAAAAAGAAGAAAACATACACACATCCATCCAATGTTAGACCCAATGATTGTGAATTGACTTATAGAATTGATGTGATTTGATTTGATTTGATTTGCTGTGATGCAAATGGCTGCCTGTCTTGAAATATTTCTGAGCAGCTCACAAAAACAATAAAATTATATTAAAAAAAACATATAACAAAAACTAACAAACCTGGGACTTTAATCAACCCCCAACCCCAGGTTTCCTCCACAGGCTAAAACACGACCACAGAGCCTACACGACGAGACAGATTTTATTGGCTTTCCAGAAAGCTAAAGGGGGATGTATTCCATAACCAGCTGCGATGTGTTTCCAGGGTCAGTTAAAGAGGCTGGCTGTCGCCTTTAAAGCCTACTGTCTTCTCCCAGTAATTTCTCCATGTCCAATTTGATCCAGCAGAATAGGTATGCTGCAGATAACGTCAGCCAAAGAGTGAGGACCAGAAAACAGGCTTTATCCCCAGTGGCCACTGCTCTATGGAACGTTTTCCCTTCAGAGACTAAAATGGCTCCAATTGTTAGCCTTTTTCAAGGCCTTAAAAATCTGGCTATGTTCCCTTAACCTGGGGTGCTGAATGCTTCAAGTGCTCTTTGGCTGACGTGCTCTTTGGCTGTATTGCTACTAGCCAATATCTCGGCTGCAATTTATATTTATTTAATTTGGATATTTTTATTGTTTTAAAAAGCTTTAGTGCCTCATCTCATTGACTGAGATGAGTGGCTATAGAAATTGGATGGACGGAATGAATGAATGAATGAATGAATGAATGAATGAATGAATGAAGTGGGACAGTCACAGTAAAGGCTTCTTTCCTAGGTCCCATTATATCAGGGGTGGGCAACTATAGCAACTCTATGAGCTGTGGACTTAAATTCCCAGAATTCCTGAGCTATTCATGTTGGCTCAGGAATTCTGGAAATTTAAGTCCACAGGTTGTAAAGTTGCTACAGTTGCCCACCCCTGCCCTACATGCTATTACTTCAGGGAAGGGACTGGAGTGTGTCCAACCTATCTGACCTATATTACAACAGTTACTATTTGGGGCTGAACTACAAAGGCAGGATCAGTGGTGAAATGTAAAATTTGTTACTACCGGTTCTGTGGTCGTGGCTTGGTGGTGGTGGTGGTGGTGGGTAATATGACTGATTGGGCGTGGCAACTTTTTTTTTTTTTTAACTTTTAAAACCATTTTTTCTACAACCTCTTCGGCTGAAGAGGTTGTAAAAAAAATGCTTTTAAAGCCTCTGACAATCCCAGTTGACTTGCCTGATCGGCAGAGACTTTCTTTTTTTTTTTAAAAGCCTCTGACGATCCCAGCTGACTTGCCTGATCCGCAGAAGCTTTTTTTTCCCCTTTAAAAGCATTTTTTCTATAACCTCTTCGGCCGAAGAGGTTGTAGAAAAAATGCTTTTAAAAGCCTCTGATGATCCTACCTGAGCTGCATGATCATCAGAGGCTTTTTTTTTTTACTTTTAAAAGCCTTTTTAAACATGCTTTTAAAAATTAAAAAAAAAAGCCTCTGATGATTGCGCGGCTCAGCTGGGCAATTGGGGTTGGGTGGGGGCAGGGATCTTTGCTACCGGTTCTCTGAACCACCCGCCTCCATTGCTACCAGATCGGGCGATCCGGTCCGAACCGGGAGCATTTCACCCCTGGGCAGGACCTAAACTGTTATGCAGCCAGGATATTCACTGGCTAACATAGCAATTGAATTGGCAGTTATTAAGTCTGCCTACGTTTGACCTTTTGCCAATCTCTTTTGTTTAATTTATCGTATTTGTTTCCAACTTCAAAGAACTGGCTTGAGATATTTTCTTTCATCGCTGTGTGAACAGTCTACTACATTATGAGCAAAATTTTCAGTTGCCGGTGGCATAAATTTCCTGACAGTGAGAACAATTAATCAGTAGAACAACTCGCCTCCAGAAGTTGTAAATTCTCCAACACTGGAAGTTTTTAAGAAGAGACTGGACAACCATTTGTCTGAATTGGTATAGGGTTCCCTGCCTGAGCAGGGGGTTGGACTAGAAGACCTCCAAAGTCCCTTCCAACCCTGTTATTCTATTCTATAAGTTCTTAAAGCGCTCAGTATAGATTCTGCAAAATAAATTAAAAGTCTGCTTCGTTACAATGAAGGACTTCTATAGAGGTAGTCCTCAACTACCAGGATTTCCATTGCTAGGCAGTGGTTAAGTGAGCTGAGCCCGATGGTTGTTTAAAGTAATCACCGCAATTGTAAAGTGAATAGTGACCTTGGGGATGCTGCAATGATTGTTAAGTGCAAAGACTAGCCGTAAGTTATTTTTTTCAGTGCTGTGTGATCTGGATGCTTAGCAGCCAGCATGCATTTACAATGGTTGCAACATCCCATAATCGCAGGACCACCGACTGCAACACCACACAGCCAGCTTCCAACAAGGGAAGGCAACGGGGAAGCTGGCAGGAAGTCGCAAGTCACAGTCACGTGGTGTCTCATTGAATGACCTGTGATTTGCTTTACAACCGCAGCCGGAACTGACGTTTTAAGTTGGTTGTGTCCAAATGTAATGACCTGAGTTGCCAGTCCCAATTGTAGTTAGTAAGTGAGGACTACCTATACTTGTGGAATTTGGGAGTCCTGAACCAGCAGAAGGAAGGAAACCCCCACACCCAGAGACTGCAAATAGTCCTCGACTTACAAACACTCATTTAATGACCGTTTGAAGTTACAAGGGCCCTGAAAAAAAAAAAAGTTACTTATGGGCAATTTTCACACTTACGACCCTGATCATGTGATCAAAATTGGTGCTTGGCAACTGGCATGTATTTATGACCGTTGCAGTGTCCTGGGATCAAGGGATCGATTCCCTTTTGCGACCTTCCCAGCTGGCTTCTGACAAGCAAAGTCAATGGGAAAAGCCAGATTGGCATGATTCACTTAACAACTGCAGTGATTCACTTAACATCCAAAGCAAAAAAAAAAAGTTGCAAAATGGGGCAAAACTCACTTAACAAATGTCTTGGGCTTTAGCCACGAAAATTTTGGGCTCAATTATGGTCGTAAGTGGAGGACTACCTGTACCAAGAAAAAGAGTTCACAGGCTTTTGGGAGCCAATGGGCACAGCTGCTTTCCACATCCTGACCCAATAAAAGGCTGCATCTTAACCTGCCGTTCTCTCCCTTTCCCATCAATTGAACCATCGACTAGTTAACATTCCCACATACGCCCATGCAGGCACACGCACACGTGCTACACGCACACACACAAACCATTGTTCGTATTAAAGGCCAGTTCCAAACCAGTTTCAGTGGTGTAGGTGGATGGTGCCAGCTGCACGGACGCAGAGGTGGGGAACACGAGTATATGAGTGCACGAAGTGTCCTGCGGGGTATTGAGCTGGGAGGTCTGCATGTTTAAGGTGGTGCTACGTCCAAACACTGAACCAGTGGATACGGAGTCTTTAGTAAAAAGAAGAAGAACGGAGGAGAATTACCCATGCGATCAATAGCAAATAGCAACAGCAATAGCACTTAACGCTTATATACTGCTTTACAGTGCTTTTTACAGCCCTCTCTAAGCGGTTTACAAATTCAGCTTCTTGCCCCCAATAATCTGGGTCCTCATTTGACCCACCTTGGAAGGAAGGAAGGCTGAGTCAACCTTGAGCAGGTGGGAATCGAACTGCTGGCAGGTGGCAGAGTTTGCCTGCAATATTGCATTCTAACTACTGTGCCACCCTTAGTGGTGGCCCGTGTCTTCCTCAACCACTGATCCTCTACCAGAAGCCTGGGAGTTTGAGGGTTTTGCATAGGAGTTTCTCTGGATAGACAGCTCTGAGGGTTGTTTTGGACAGCAACAGCAAAACCACTTAAAACTTATATACTGCCCCATAGTGTTTTGTAGCACTCTCTGGGTGGTTTGTAATGTCAGCATGTTGCCCCCAACAATCTGGGTCCTCATTTTACTGAGCTCGGAAAGCTGGAAGGCTGAGTCAACCTTGAGCCCCATCAGGATCAAATTCCAGACTGTGGGCAGAATTTGCCTACAATGCTGCATTCTAATCACTGTGCCACCAGGGCTCAATCCTGTCTTTGCCCTTCCTTCCTTCCTTCCTTCCTTCCTTCCTTCCTTCCTTCCTTCCTTTTCTTTCCTTCCCTCCCTCCCTCCCCCTTTCCTTAATTCTTCCTCCTCCCCTCCCCTTCTTGATTGTTCAAGAATCTTCCTTCCTTCCTCCCTTGCCTTCCTTTCCTTTCCTTCCTCTTTCTCTTTCCTTAAATCCTCCCCCTCCCTTCACTTCTTGCTTGCTCAAGAATCTATCTTCCTTCTTTCTTTCTTTCCTTCCTTCCCTTCCTCCCTCCGTAAAATTCCCATCAAGCCTAATTTTTTAAATTTCTTTGTTTGTAAAATTTATTAGACGCCTATCTTACCCCTCATTAACTCTGAGCAGCTTACAATATTAAAAATCCCTTTTGCGGGAATTCCAACATGATGAAAAGGACTCGGTACATACCTGGCATGATCACGAAAGATCCTTGAGGTTCCATAGCCACTAAGCAAGCACTGAGGATGCTGGGGGAATCAGCAGCAGAAATCCCACACATCCTGCACATATCTTTGAGCCTCTTGCTAAGAGACTGCAGGTTCCGGCGACTCAATAAACAGCTCCAATCTGGAAAGGAAACAAGAGCGGCTGACTAGCTGGGACATCATTTTTCACAGCCTTCCAGAAAGCAATATTGTCTGCAGAGAAGAAGTTATCATTTTTGGAGGGTTTTAAAGAAACGAGGCAACGGTGTTTCCCCACCACTTCAGAACTGCAAACGGTTAGAATGCCCATGTCTTATTTGCTTTGTAGTCTGAAAAGCCAAAAGGGAAACCGCCTTCTGCTACCGACAGCCTCCCACCGGCCAGTATGCTCCCACAGGGCGGGGCTCCTCGGGGTGCCGTCGGTCAGACAATGTCGACTGACGACCCCCCGGGGGAGAGCCTTCTCAGTGGGGGCTCCTGCCCTATGGAACGAGCTGCCCCCGGAGGTACAGAGGATCCTGGAATTGCGCACCTTCCGCTGTGCCCTGAAGACTTTGTTATTCCAGCAAGCCGGGCTAGCCTAATTTTAACGGTTTTAAATTTTAAACTGGATTTTAATGGGATGTTTTAATTGTGAGCCAAAGTATTTAATTTGGTTTTAAATTGTTTTTAACTTTTATATTTATGTATTTGATCCTGGCTGTTCACTGCCCTGAGTCCTTCGGGAGAAGGGCGGTATATTTAATATAATATAATAATATAAATATAATATAATATAATATAATATAATATAATATAATATAATATAATATAATATAATATAATATAATATAAAATAAAATAATATAATAAATATAATAAAAAATAAATATAATATAATCTAAATATAATATAATATAATATAAATAATATAATATAATATAATAAATAATATAATATAATATAATATAATATAATATAATATAATATAATATAATATAATAAATAAAACCAGTGAGAATTACAGGTTGTCCTGGACTTAACGACCACAACTGAACCCAAAATTTCCATTGCTAAGCAAAACAGTTTTTAAGGGAGTTTGCCGCATTTTGTGTCCGTTCTTGCCACGACTGTTAAGTGAATCTGGCTTCCCTGTTGACTTTGCTGGTCAGAAGGTTGCAAAAGGGGATTGTGTGACCCCCGGGCTACTGCAACCGTCGTATATAGGGGTCAGTTGCTAAGAGTCTGAATTTTGTTCACGTGACAGTGGGGATGCAGCAATTGAGTCTAAGTGTGAAAATGGTCAAAAGTCACTTTTTTCAATGCCGTCATAAATATATGCCGGTTGCCAGGCGTCCAAATTTTGATCACGTGACCACAACAGGGAACAACGCAAAGGTCGTAAGTGTGAAAAACGGTCATAGGTCACTTTTTTCAGTGCCGTCGTAATTTTGAACAGTCACTGAATGAATGGTTGTAAGGCGAGGACTACCTGTATGTTTAGACCAGGGGTGTCAAGCTTGATTTCATTGAAGGCCACATGTGTTTGACCTTGGGGGTGGAGGGGGGGCGGCTGGGGGCAGCGTGGCCAGGGTGGGCATAGCCAGTTCAACGTCACTCGTGTCAGGGGCACCTGTAGCGGCAAAGTGCTAAGGCAGGACTTCCCTCAAATCCTCCCTCCCTCTCACTATAACCAACCTACCTTCCTTCCTTCCTTCCTTCCTTCCTTCCTTCCTTCCTTCCTTCCTTCCTTCCTTCTTTTTCCTTTCCACTTCATTTTCCTTTCTTCTTCCTTCCCCTTTTTCCTTCCTTGCTCTCTTCCCATCTTCCCATCTTTTTCTCTGTCTTTCCTCTTTCTCTTTCTCCTTTCCTGTCCCTTCTTGCATGCTCAAATGCAAAAGGGGAAACATTTCTCCTTTTGTTTGGCTTTCAGTTTGTTTTACTAGCCCTCTGCCAGCGGAAATGGAGCCCGGGGACCACACACGGTTGAAAATGGGGCCCGGGAGGGCCGTTTTCACTGGCAGAGGCACCGTTGTTGTTTCCAGGGCAGCCCCGTGGGCCAGATTTAAGCACCCCGCGGACCAGATGAGTTTGACACTCCTGGTCAATTTATATATCACCATTTCAGGGCAGGCTTCTGTAGTACCTTTCAGCTCCCCGTGGCCGATTCTTCCAAGCCGTCCTATTACAACTCTCCAGGGCACAGAACTCATCTGCACAAGACCCAAACACCACTCCCAGAGTTTCTGAAGACCGAGTCTGCGAGCAGATCCTTTTTTCCTACGAGCCCTGTTGGGAAACAAAAAGTTCTTTGGTAAATAGAATGTCAGGCACGGAGAATGGGAACCACATGTTAAGTTCCAGTTAAGCTGATTTATTGCTCATGCCTTTTACACAAGAATCTAGTCAATTAATGGTCAGCACTAAATTGGCACTAGATAAAAATGAATGAAATTCAAAAGGAGTTGGGCTGAGACTGTTTGAGGGAACGTAAGGACTCCAGGCTGAGTGCTCTCTTGACTCCGTCCCCAGGCTCTGCCTCTCCTTCTCCTACATATAGTTGTCCATACCCTCCTCAATTGCTCCCAAAAGGACAGACTGGCCTGCTACATAATTAAAGGGTATTCTCAAAGGCGCTTTTTCAAGAGACAGCTGGACTTTCTTCTTTTTTCTTTGAAGAAAAAAAAAAAAGAGGAGCTGAAGCAGCTTCTGGGATGAGAAGCGAAACGTCTTCCAAGTAAAACCAGAAAGTCTAATTGCCTTTTGGGAAAAAAAAACACATTTGGGACAAGCATAACCTGGATGATTGAGAAGCTCCGTAGACAAAAAATTTTTCTAAAGTTAGGCAAATGTTTCAAATTTGAAACTTTACTGAATTTCTTCCCCTCACACTCCATTATGTTAATGTTAATTTAATGTTTTAACATTTAATATTGTTGTTTTTATTTTGTAAGTGGCCCAGAGTCTCTTGATGGTGAGAAGGGTGGCATATAAATTTAATGAAAAAATAAATAAGCGGGGAGGGGAAGGCCCTCCCTTGCAAAAGGGATGGCATTTCTACTTTTTTTAAAGCGAAAGCAAGCCAAAGCAGTTAGAAATAAATAAATAAACATATTTCTCATCAAATATGAGTAAAAAGTCCAGTATAATACAAGTACACCATAAAAATGAGATAAGATAATTTCTGAAAGAGAAGAATTCATAGGGTATTTTCTCCTAAAAGAAGAAGAAAAAATGAACAGGAGAATAGAGAGAACATATCTGTCCTTAATTTGATAATTTATAGAATTCCTGGCTGGCTGGGGAATTCTGGGAGTTGAAGTTCACGGGTCTTAAAATTGCCCAAGGTTAGGAAACAGCTGATTTACAGAAACGCATTCCAAGAGAACTCTTGCTATCTTCCTTACTTGCAACCATCTGACTCTTCCGTTGAAACGGGCTGCTACGTTATCTTAAAAGGCCATTGTCTCCTATTTGACTTAACAATCTCAAACATACCGTACACGCAAAAAAAGAGGAAAGGGTATCGGTGTACCTGTTTGGTACGTCAATGTTTATGATGCAGGTTTCCAGAAGTTCTCCGTAGAGATCTGTGCAGGATGCAAGGAGCCACCTTTGATCATGGGAAAGACAGTAGCCCACAAAAAGCACGTTGTATTTTTGCCCAGCCTCGCCAAATGTTTCCCCCAGCTCAGTCTGTTTATCTTTGACAGGAGCCAGGATGAAAGGAGGAGCGTAGAGTTTAATACACTCAGGTCTCTGCAAAGTGCACACAGAGGGGTGGAAAAAACAGGAATATTGGAAACGTTAGCCATGTTTTCCAGTAATTACAATATTTTTCAGACTATAAGACGCACTTTTTTGTCTCCCAAAAGGGGGTGAAAATGTCTGTGCGTCTATTGCTAAAGCCCCACCCACCCGCCAGCCATTTTTTGGCCTCCACATGCCCTGTTTTGGGGCCTTTTTCAGGCCTTTTGTTGGCCCATTTTTGAGGCTTTTTGCAGCCTGTTTTTGAGGCTTTTTGGCCCATTTTTGAGGCTTTTTTTAGCCTGTTTTTTCAGAAAAAAAGGGCCAAAAAGCTGACTTTGTATAAAAAAGAACACCGCTTGGGGGGGCCGAAAGCCCTACTAAGCAGGTATATACAAAAGTATGAAGGCTATTGCTTAACGCATTGCAAGCCGCCCTGAGTCTCCGGAGAAGGGCGGCATATAAATCGAACCAATAAATAAATAAATAAATAATTTTTTTTAAAAGCCCCGAAAACAGGCTGAAAAAAGCCAAAAAACCGGGCCGAAAAAAGCCCCAAAAATGGGCCGCAAAAAGTCTCGAAAATGGGCCGAAAAAAGCCCTGGAAACATGTTGAAAAAAGACTGGAAAAGGGCAGAACAAATGCCCGAAAAAAGGTAAGCCAAAAACTTTTTGTTGTTTTCCTCTTCTAAATTTAGGTGCGTCTTATAGTCCAAAAAATACGGTAGTCTTTTTTTTATATATATATAAAATAGACTTGTGTCTCTCCCACAGCAATATTACCCACCTTCTGTTTTCACAAATGCATCATTCACATCTATTGCTAATTCCACACACCCCTTCTCAATTATGCACAGAAAGCAGCTGAGTAGGCAGCTAATTCGTTAAACCTAGTAGGGCCTAGCAATAAATAGACCGTAATTCTAATATTTTAATCATGTTGTCAAGTTTGGCGTTGAAGAACATCGTTGTAATTGAGCAGAGATGTGGGAAAAGAAAAACTACGGGCATGGGTGGTCCTTTACTTGCAACCGTTCATTTAGTGACTGTTCAAAGTTACAACAGCACTGAAAAAAGTGATTTATGACCATTTTTCACACTTACAGCCACATCAGCATCCCCGTGGTCATGTGATCAAAATTCAGACACTTGGCAACTGACTCATATTTATGACGGTTGCAGTGTCCCAGAGTCATGTGATCTCCTTTTGTGACTTTCTGAGAAGCAAAGCCAATGGGGAAGCCAGATTCACTTAACACCTTTGCTACTAACTTAAGAACTGCAGTGATTCCCTTAACAACGGTGGCAAGATCGCAAAATGGGGCAAAACTCACTTAACAACTGGCTCAGTTAGCAATGGAAATTTTGGGCTCAATAGTGATTGACTATCTATAGTCCTCGATTTATGACCACAACTGCAACCACAACATCTGTTGCTAAGCAATGCAGTGTCATGGCATAACGATGCCTTTTTTTTTTTTGCCATGGTAGTTAAGCAAATCACATTAAGTGAATCTGGATTCTCCCACTGACTCTACTTAAGATGGCTGAGAAGGTCACAAATGGCGATCGCATGACTGCAGGGATGCTGCAACAGTCGTAAGTGCAAGGACCAGTCACAAGTTTTCAGGGGCACTGTAACTTGTGACAGTCGCTTAACCAATGGTCCTAAGTCGAGACGACCTCTATAGAAAAGATGACTGCAGTTTATTCTCTTCTGCCAATGATGGTGCCTGATTTAGAAGCATCCTAAGTCTTTCCCAACTGAGCACAAGGTATGCTCATATCCTTTTTATTCAGCTAATGTTTCTCAAAACTCCACTAGAATTTCACCTTGTTCTCCCATTGGCAGTACTCACATCAGGACTTTTGAGTGCCATTTCCACCGCTAAGCCCGGGCCGAACCCTGTTAATGTTTTGACATTGGTTGACGTTGGGAGAGGTCTTCGGCACTGGGTAAAGGCGGAAAATGCCAGGGATTTTAAGTGCTGGGTGTAAATCTGTCTGTCTTCGTTCTTGACGGGTTGCAGCAGATACTGACAAGGAACAAGCTAAGCACCAGACAGAGAAAGAAAGAAAGAGAGAGAGAGAGAAATGTCTATTAATCTGGGCATACTATTTCTTTAGCATGTGGCGTTATCATACATGGGCTTGCAAAACATGTTAACATTTCCCCTAGATTAAAAAAAGCACAATAAAATATAAATGTTAAAAAGATCTATATTCAGATACTAAAGTCTAGGCCATCTAAACACTGAAGCTCGGCATCGTTTATATCAGGGGTCCCCAACTCCTGGTCCATGAACTGGTACCGGGCAGTGGCATGCTAGCAACCGGACTGCGCAAACAAAGCCCCATCCGGGGGATGCAGACAGCACACAAAACCAGTCCATGGAAAAACCTCTTTCCACAGAACCAGTCCCTGGTGCCCAAAAGGTTGGGGGCCACTGGTTTAGATGAATGAAATCAGATATTAAACCGGTATATGTCCTTGGTTTACAGCCAGTCACGATGTGATCTACCCCTTGATGTGGGACCCCAAAGACACACTTTGGGAGGGGAGTGAGTCCCAGCAGATGCCATGCAAGGTAAGAATCCTATTCAGGATTTGAACTACCATGCCAGCAATGGACAACCCTGGGCATACTGTTGTGACCTGTCGGCCGCCGGCCCCTCCAGCAGCCGAATCAGAGGAGGAGGAGGAGGCGTGGGAGTCAGGGTCAGCATCAAGGCAACCTGAGAGCTCCGAGGGGGAATAGAGAATGGAGCTGTCAGAGACAGAGACAGAGGCAGAGCCTGGGCCATCCATCAGCCCTCAGATGGAGAGTCAACAGCCCTCCAGTCTGGAGGTGACTGATGAGGTAGAGGAGGAACAGCTGGGTCCAGTGCCTGATGCTCGGATGCACAGAAGGCAGAGGAGAGGAGAGCAGTGGAAATCTGTGGGCCAATCCCTGGGACGAAAGAGCCACTGCTGCTAGTGAAGCCCCACCCTAGCTCTGGGGATAAAAGGCAGGGGGTGGAGATGAATAGATTTGGCAGACAACTACCGGTATTCATCTCCCGGCCGGCCGGACTTGTTAGCCTGTGGTGAAAGAGAAACTTTTTGCCAGGGCTGCTGGCGCTCCTAATAAAGGAATCTTTGAGTTAACTTCAGAGGGTTTGTCGTGTTTGGGGAGCCGGGTCAGAACATATTAGGACACTGCTATGATTTCAGTGCAATTAAAAAAAGAGAAAGAAAATGTAAAAATTCCCACATTCTGGCATCCCATTAGAACTTGGTAAATTCTTTTTTCTCCATTATTTTCTCCACTTGTATTTTATTGTGATTTTTAATGAGGTTTTATATATTTAGACGTAGATTTATTTAGACGTAGGTTGTATTTTAGTATTCTGAGCTGCCTAGAGTCACCTTGTGGCGAGATGGGCAGCAAACAAATTTAATAACTAATTAACCAACTAACTAAAGACCATTCTTAAGACTAAAGGTAAGAGCTGCCGTTGGCCGCCAATTTTTTTTTTTCTCACGCAAAGAAATAAACTTGACTACAAAACCTAATTGTTACAAGTAAGGTGGCTTTTACACACACACCTCAATACTTTCTGCAATTTTAGAAGCCCAAATAATAAATAACAAAGCAGAGGACAGACTTTGGTAGGTTGTAGTGACAGAGCTTTCAATGCAAGGGAACACCCTAGCATGGATGTCAGGAGTGTCGCTGTCATCTATACCAGGGGTCCCCAACCCTCAGGCTGTGGATCACTGGTCCGTGGCCCGTGCAAGTGAGCAAAACTTCACTGGCGCATGTGTGCGATCTAGGTACCACGCAAAACCACAATCAGCGGCTTACTTTAATTCAGTGGCTTACCTGAACAGCCACGATGTTTCTAAGATGAGGAGGAAGGTTTTGGATCATTTCTAGAAAGCAGCGGAGAAGACCAAGAGTCCAGACATTTGAGGAGCTGTTCTCTTCTTTCTTTTCATACGTGAAAGGATCCACAATGTAAACAACAATGGCAGGCGGGTAGGTGACCGCATGGGAATCACCATCGGTGGGAATTCCGACTCTGTCCCGTTCCATAGTGCTGGAAGGAGATTGCAAACAGAACTGCTGTGAGATGCCGAGAGTTTCTCTCTCGTATGGAAATAAACTCCTGTGCAATGCTTGCCATTCTACAAGGCTGACAAGGCTGCTCCTCCCACGTAAGAGACGGAGCTCCCAAACCTCCAATGACGAGGACAGGTAGTCCTTGACTTACAACCATTCATTTGGTGACTGTTTGAAGTTACTGCTGCCCTGAAAAAAAGTGATTTATGACCGTTTTTCAATCAACCGTCGCACCAACCCCATGGTCATGTGATCAAAATTCACACACATGGCAACTAGCATGTGGTTGTAGTGTCCTATGGCCATGTGATCCCCTTTTGGGACCTTCTGACAAGCAAAGTCAATGGGGAAGCCAGATTCACTTTACAACTAAAGGGTTGCTAAATTAACGATGACAGTTTTAACCACTGTGGCAAGAAAGGTCGTACAATGAGGCAAAACTCCACTTAGCAGCTGTCTCGCTTAGCAATGGAAATTTTGGGCTCAATTATAGTCGTAAGTCAAGGACTATCTGCGTGGTGGCGCAGTGATTACAATGCAGTACTGCAGGCTCCTTCTGCTGACTGCCGACTGCCAGCAGTTTGGCAGTTCGAATCTCACCAGGCTGAAGGTCAACTCAGCCTTCCATCCTTTTGATGTGGGTCACATGAGGACCCAGATTGTTTGGGGCCATAGGCTGACTCTGTAAACCGCTTAGAGAGGGCTGTAAAAGCACTGTGAAGTGGTATATAAATCTAAGTGCTATTGCTGTTTAAATTGTCTCCTAGGCAGGTAGTCTTTTTTTCAGAGAGGATGAAGCAGGGGTCAAATCCAGCAGGTTCTGGAGAACCGGTAGCAGAAATTTTGAGTAGTTTGGAGAACCAGCAAATACCACCTCTGGCTGGCCCCAGAGTGAGGAGGGAATGGAGATTTTGCAGTATCCTTCCCCTGCCACACCCACCAAGCCATGCTCACCAAGCCACACCCACAGAACCGGTAGTAAAAAAAAAAATTGAATTTCACCACTGGGATGAAGGCAATCCTGACCCACCATTCCCACCTTCCTCACTCCATCTACCCCCACTGAGCGACTTAAATGACACCCTCTTTCATCCTGACAAATTGGGGAGACAGACCCTCTTTTCTCAATTTACTGCTTGTTGAAACCTCACTGCCTTGGCACTTTTCAGCCCTGGTGAAGTACACGAGCAAAAGAGAAGAGTGAGACTCAGACAAAAGAACACAGCCAACACATGCCCTGGGGTTGTGTCTTCTCATTCTTCAGTGTAGGTTCCTAGGCAGTTTGGAGGAAGAGTTAAGATGCCGTACAGGTAGTCCTCGATTTACAACAGTTCGTTTAGTGACTGTTTGAAGTTACAACAGTGCTAGAAAATGACCGTTTCTTACATTTATGACCGTTGACGCATCCCCCCCCCATGGTCAGGTGATCAAAATTCAGATGCTTGGCAACTGGTTCACATTTATTACGGTTGCAGTGTCCTGGAGTCATGTGATCCCCTTTGGCGACCTTCTGACAAGCAAAGTCAATGGGGAAAGCCAAGTTCACTTAAGAACTGTGTTACTAACTTCACAACTGCAGCAGTGGTGAAATCCAAATTTTTTTACTACTGATTCTGTGGGCGTGGTTTGGTGGGTGTGGTGTGGCTTGGAGGGCATGGCAGGGGAAGGATACTGCAAAATCTCCATTCCCATCTGACTCCAGGGGAAGGATACGGCAAAATCCCCATTCCCTCCCCACTCTGAGGCCAGTGAGAGGTGGTATTTGCAGTTCTCCGAACTGCTCAAAATTTCTGCTACTGGTTCTCCAGAACCTGTCAGAACCTGCTGGATTTCACCCCTGAATTGCAGTGATTCACTTAACAACTGTGGCAAGAAAAGTCCTGAAATGGGGCAAAACTCACTTAATAAATTTCTCAGCAACGTACATTCTGGGCTCGGTTGTGGCTGTAAGTTGAGGACTACCTATATTTAAGAACCCTGAACAAATCAAGGGATGAATAATCCAACCTAAGGAATCATTGAGGAGCAGGCATTAAAGAAGACACCCTCAGGAAATAAGACACAGAAGTTAGTACGGTATTCACTTATTTTCACACTGTGTATCCTTCCCACACACATTAACTCTTCTGCACAGACAGAGTGACACAGAATGGCAAGAGGAACAGAGCTGCAGAAGTGTGAAGGCACCGGCAAGCTCATATTTAAAACCTTCCACCGCTGAGTGTATTTTAAAGGTAGACAAGGCAATGTGAATCTGGGTTGAAGAGTCGGAAGCTACAACTAAACATTCAGGCTCAAAGTCCTTGTAGGTCATGAAGAGCACTTGGCAAAAGCTAAGCCAGTCACAACTCTGGGATGTACTGCGATTATAAAACTGGGAACAGGGAGAAAATGTGTAAGAACCTTGGACTTCTTGGGGAAAAATTAGGATGTGTCTAAGTTTTAAAAATCAATATAGGTAGTCTTTAACTTGCAACCATTTAACTTGCAACGGGCCAGAATTTCTGTTGCTAAGCCAAGCACTGCCTCACTGCTCACTGCCAGGAGTTCGATCCAAACCGGCTCAAGGTTGACTCTGCCTTCCATCCTTCCAAGGTGGGTCAAATGAGGACCCAGATGGTTGGGGGCCATAGGCTGACTCTGTAAACTGCTCAGAGAGGGCTGTAAAGAACTATGAAGTGGTATATAAGTGCTATTGCTATTGGGCCGCTGTAACCATCATAAATACGTTCTGGTTGCCAAGGACCTAAATTTTGATCCTCTTGTCCTGGAGATGCTTCAACAATTGTAAGTGCAAGGACCAACCATAAATCGCTTTTTTCACTACTTTTGTAACATGTCTATGACAATTCGCCATGGTTAACCTGCCATAGCCAAGTTGCCATGGGACAACTCATTGAGGACAACTTGCTGTGAGACAACTCACTGCGGAACAAGAGTTACACTAGTATCAAGAAATGGTGGAATAGAATCATTAAAGAAAGGATAAAAAAGGAGGGACAGAATGAAATGTGAATGGCAAAAATTAAAACAGTTTTTTTCATTTATTTTAAATAATTAAATATAGAATGGTTAAATTGCCCTGCATCGAGTTGCTCCATGGCAAGATGGCGGTGGCAAATTGTCCGGTGACGAGTTTGGCCGTGATGGATTGTCCCATTCCGTGTTGTAACTTCAAACGGCCACGAAACGAATGGATGTTAAGAGGACGACCTGTTCACCAGAGCCAGTGGGAATAAAAAAACGTTACCTTTCGGAAACCTCCGGATGCGGCTGCGTCGGGGCAGGCAAGACTTCCCCGGTTATCCCTGCTGTTTGCTGCGGGTGCTGAATCCCTGCCTGCCCATTCTGGACAGCCGTGGTCTGCGTGGAAAGGGAGGAAGGAGCTGCGTTGTTCATGCTGCCAAAAGGTGGAAACGAAGAGGGCTTGTTGGCCGGCATCGTGCTACCCAGGCTGGAAGAAGAGGATGAAGCAGCGGTTGTGGTCAAGGTGGAGCTGGCAGTGGTGGTAGCGGAGGTGATGGCACTGCTCGAATTCATCGGGACAGCAGCGTTACTGGCGGTGGAGGATGGAGTGCAGCTGCCTGCAACCTGAGGCTGGGTGGAAGCAGGATGGCTGGTGGGAGGAGCGAGGTTGGACTGGGAAAGCAAGGAATTGTCCAATGGCTGTGTAGCAAGATAAGGACCTTGAAACAGAAAAAGGCACATAGAAATCAATGTCTATGGAGATTCTCATTTACCCAGGTCATGGTTGTCCCAAAAGTCCTTTTTTTTTCTTTATTCTTTCCAAAAGGCAACTGGGTTTTTTCTTGGGTTTTTTTTTTTTTTCCTTGAAAATGCTTCGGAAGAAAATATTCCAAGAGGTCCGGTTGAATCAGCAAAAACAAAACCACTGCTTTCTAGGTCCCAAAACTGCTTTTTCCAAAAGGCAATTGGGAGTTTTTTTTTTCTGAATGAAGCTTCTTCTGGGATGAGAAACGAAGCGTTTTCTGGGGGAAGGAGGAGAACCAAGAAAGTCCAGCTGGAAAACGCACCTTTGGGACCTAGAAATGAATGGTTTCGTTTTTGCCGATTCAACCGGGCCTCTTGTGGTATCGTTGCTATTTATTTAAACCGTGGGTCTCCAAAACCTCGGCAACTTTAAAGATTTGTGGACTTCCGCTCCCAGAATTCCCCAGACATTGCATGCACATGCGCTGTCTGGGGAATTCTGAGAGCGGAAGTCCACAGGTCTTAAAAGTTGCCGAGGTTTGGAGACCCCTGATTTAAACGAAGCATCCATTCAGCTGAGGGTGCTCGAAAAATTTAGGTCAAATGAAAGATAAAGCCAATCTCCAAAAACGGATATGTTTCTGTGAAGGACAGCTTACCCTACCTACCCCATCCATTTTTCTACCTGCAATTGTGAGCTGGAAACCACCACTCACCTCCCGGCATTCCCCGTGAGCTACTACGACCCAAACACCTTGGTACACAGCCCCAACTGCTCTGCAAAGCTTTGCATTTTTGTGGTAAACATGCAGGATATGAAGGAGGGGGGGGAAACAGACAAGGAGCTGGAAACCAAAAGGACTTCTCAAGTTTTTGGGCTGCAGCAAAATATCACCCTGGGAGCCTATGTACTGGGCACAAGATGGCAATGCACTTTTTTTTTTTTTCCACATCTGACTAGCAGCCTATCGCCGTTCTCAATAACAGCTGTGATAAAAGCCACACGCAGGAGAGGTGCGTCAAATAACATGAATAAATTTGCCCAAGATATCGGAGTGATAGTCTGCACAGCCAAGGGCAGGGATGAGTTTGCACTTTCGAATGCCAGTATCGTAAAATGTTCAACGCTGTTCCAAGTACTTGTATTTATTTTATATTTTTTTTGCAAACTTTAGGGGGGGTGGAAATGGAGGCGTGGGTGAGTGGGATAGAAACCATACCCAGGTCGTATCTGCAGACTTGAGCGTAGAGTTTGAGTCTAGAAAACGATTCCTTGTTGGCGTGAGCTGTCTGCGAGAACCACTCAGCCACCGACTTCTCGGAGAGTTTGTTTGAAGCAGTGGATCCCACTCGCATGATCCCGTCTGGCAAGAGTTTACAGATGGGCCGATGCAAGCCGAGTTTGCAGGACTGCAAAAGAAGAGACGCCAGGAGAGAAGCACGGTGAATGCAAAGCACTGGTGACGGATTCTTGCCAATGGACTCAAAAGCCCAACCTGCTACGCCAAGGTTATCCTAACCCAGGGGTGTCAAACTCACAGTGTCACGTTGTCATCACGTGACATATCACGACTTTTTCCCCCTTCGCTAAAACCGGGGTGGGCGTGGCCAGTGCGAGTTTGACACCCCTGTCCTAACCCATCTTAAAGAGCATATGCTGGGGAATATAGAATGCAGGGAGTCCTCGACTTATGACCCTAATGGAGCCTGCCCATGCTGGTCGTTAAATCACAACAGTTGTAAATTTTAGAAACTTTCTTGCCGTGGTCATTTAGCGAATTATCACAGTTGTTAAATTAAACTGTGGTTTTGAAATGAGCCAATGGCTCTTTATGGACTCAGTTCTGCCAAAAAAACCCAAAACAAAACAGAAATGTGGGGGGGAGAGAGACACATGTGGTCACGTGACATAGGACACTGCAAATGGTCACCAATGTTGGCTAGTACCCAAAGTTCAGTCACGTGACTGGAAGAAGGGGAGAGGCACCATCACAACTTCAAATCTGGATTGCAAGCAGCCATGAATGGTTGCTAAGCGACCAGCCATAAGTCCAGGGCTAAAGGTAGTCCTTGACTCACGACCACAACTGAGCCCAAAATTTAGGTTGCTAAGTGAGAAACTTTATTAAGTGAGCTTTGCCCTCTTTTACGACTTTTCTTGTCGCAGTTGTTAACTGAATCACGGCAGTTGTTAAATTAGTAACTCGGTGGTTAAGTGAATCTGGTTTCCCCATTGACTTTGCTTGTCAGAAGGTTGCAAAAGGTGAGCCCGGGATACTGCGACCGACATAAATATGAGTCGGTTGCCAAGCGTCTGAATTTTTTTCATGTGACCATGGGGGATGCAGCAACGGTCATAAGTGTCATAAGGTCATAAGTGTGAAAATGGTCATGTCACTTTTTTCAATGCCGTTGTAACTTTGAACAGTCACTAAATGAACTGTTGTAACTCGAGGACTACCTCACATCCTAAATGTCAGTCAGTTGCCAAGCATCTGAATATAAATCACGTGACCATAGGGATGCTGCAATGATCCGTGAAAAACAGTTATAAGTCACTTTTTTTTCAGGGCCGTTTTGTAACATTGAATGGTCACTAAATGAACTATTGTAAGTCGAGGACTACCTGTACTGGTAAACAGAAACAAGTGCCCTTTTTACTAGTTAAGCCAGAGGTCTTCAAACTTGGCAGCTTTAAGACTTGTGGACTACAACTCCCATAGCTGGCTGGAGAATTCTGGGAGTTGAAGTCCACAAGTCTTAAAGCTGCCAAGTTTGAAGACCTCTTGAGTTAAGCCTTCCCCAAAGTTTTGGTCCTTTACTGTTCTCATCAAACAATGCCAAAAGTTGGAACGCAGGTGGGCAAACAAGCAAGAGAGGTGAATTTAAAAGTACTTTAAAATTTACTCTGTCGTTTACTTTGGCAGCCGCTGAATGTCGTTCTTTGTTTACCTGCTTTTGAGCAAACCTTTCCAACTGAAATAACCATCACGTTCTAGGGTAGTAATTTAGGTTGAAAAATTATAGCCTTTGATGCAAAAGGCTTTTTCACTCACTCTCGAATTATATTTGATTACTTTTTCCATTTTGCTCTTCATTGCCGTGCGTGGTAAATAAATGTGAATCTGAGTAGACATAGCCCAGCTCTCTTGGATTGAATGTTCCTTTTGAGAGGGTATAATTTAGTCCTAGGGTATGTTAGAAAAAGTCACGATAATCTCACATAAAGCCATTTAGGATATTGTCTCAAACGCTTCATACAGAGTCCTTGAGATACAACAGCACTGAAAAAAGTGACTTATGACCGTTTTTCATATTTACGGCCTCCCCACGGTCAGACACAGCCACTTTCCTTAGCAATGGAAATTCTGGTTCCAATTGCAGTCGTTAAGTCAATAATTAAGGCTATCCGTAATGTAGGCCTACAATAAACTAGAATTAGTTGATTAGTTCATTTTGTCATGTTTCCGGTTTGGTTTACTTGGGAGGTTGACAGAAAGGCATGAAGAGTAGAGAAAGCGATTGTCTTTAAGGAGTTGACACATTTATCGGTCGTTTGGATTACTGTAATGCCCTCTACATGGGGCTGCCCTTGGGGTGCATTCGGAGGCTCCAGCTGGTCCAGAATGCGGCCGCGCGGGTTGTTACGGGAGCTTCTCGTTACTCCCATGTAACAACTCTCCTGCACGAGCTGCACTGGCTGCCGGTGGCCTTTCGGATCCACTTCAAGGTGCTGGCTCTCGCCTATAAAGCCCTACATGGCACGGGCCCGGGGTACTTGTGGGATCACCTCCTACCGGCCTCCCACTGCCCAGTGCGGTCACATAGGGCTGCCCTCCTCCGGGTGCCATCGGCCAGACAATGTCGGCTGGTGGCCCCCAGATTGAGGGCGTTCTCGGTGGCCGTGCCGACCTTCTGGAATGAATTACCCACCAAGCTCCGGACAGCCCCTGATCTCCGTTCCTTCTGTAAAGATCTTAAGACCTGGCTTTTTACTCAAATTACCTGATCTGGTTGGGGTTTTTTAGTTAACTATGGGATTTTAAATTGGACTTTTAATGTTATTTAGTGATATTGTTTTTATTGTCATTTTATACTTGTGAGCCGCCCCGAGTCCTTCGGGAGAAGGGCGGCATATAAATTTTAATAAAATATAAATAAATAAATAAATAAATTTACAGAATAAGACAGCGTATATATTTTGCCTCTTGTGGTATGAGTATGTAAACCTTTCAAATTTTGAATGCAATGCATGATGGATAATTTACTTTGAAAGGCCTATTATTGTACAATGTACATCAAAGCGTATCTCATGACTTTTTTTTGCAAGCTAAATATTGCGTGCTAGAAACTTTTCCACTTTAGACATTGGCCGGATTCACACAATGTACTTGATTCGTTCACTTCAGGATCTGGGACTTCCATGGGCATCCTATTATTATGCTTGCTTAACTAAGTTGGTTTGTTTTGTTGCCACACAATATTTACAAATTCAGTCTGTCTAGTTAATAATCCACCATGTATGGCAAAACCCAAGAAACAGGTTAATTCAGTAACTGAATTAAGAAGCTGTGAGATTCCAACCGTCAAGAAGCATTTTAATGTGACAGTGTGTATTGTGCACACTAGTGTAAAACATGGTCAAATAAAACTACTTTCCCCTCCCATCCTTAATAAACCTGGGAATAACACTGTAGCGTGCCTATTGAGCCCAAATGTTTTGATATTATGACTTGCTAGTAAGATGGAGGAGGAGTTAACAGAGAGGGAGGTCCAAAACATTTTAAAATACAGGTAGTCCTCGATTTACTATCACAACTGAACCCAAAATTTATGCTGCTAAGTGAGACGTTTGTTAAGTACATTTTGCCTCATTTTACGACCTTTCTTGCCATAGCTATTAAATAAATTACTGCAGTTGTTATTGTTAGGTGAATCTGGCTTCCTCCATTGACTTGGCTTATCAGAAGGTCGCAAAAGGGGATCACCAGTTGCCAAGGGTCTGTATTTTGATCACATAACCATGGGGATGCTTCAATGGTTGTATAAATGTGGAAAACGGTCCTAAGTCACGTTTTTCAGTGCCGTTGTAACTTTGAATGGCCACTAAACGAACTGTTGTTGAGGACTACCTGTATATATTTTAGGAAGTCTTGCAATCATGGCCTTCTGGAAAACACACAAGAGTTCAGCATCCCCAAATTACAAGGTCCGTAGCCGTACCGCAGGAGGGCAGTACAAAATTTAACCACAGGATGGCACCTTCGTAAGATGCAGCTTTTATCTTCCTCGGCCATCCATTTTAGTTGCTTTGTTCAGATAGGGCCCTGCAGGACTTTTCGCTGACAGCCGGAATGCAGGGGTTGATGGATGTTCATTTGGGGTAGGGGGTGGGGGGAGGGGACCTGGAACTCCCGTGCCCTTAAAATTCCTCACCTCGTATATTGCAGTGAGGTCTCGAAAGAAGTTCTTCGCTCCGTTCAGCAGGGCTTCGTTCTCCGGACACACCACCACGTAGGCAATGTCCCTCTGAGATCCATAGGGCTCCAGCATCAGCCTCTCCCAATATGGTAAGGCAAAAGGCGACAGCACCAAGAAGTCATAATCATGCCCCAACAAGAAGGTTGGAATGGGCAGTGGTTCAGGAGACTCATCGGTTCCTTGGGGCGGGAGGAGGGGAATAAAAAATAAATAAAGATATAGTTTTGTTCCCAGATGTCCTAATGGAGCAGGAATATGAAACTCGTCCATTACACCTTCAGACGAGTTCCCAAGTTCATAGAAAGTTGTCTGTGTGATTCTGAGAATTGTTACTCCAAAACATCTGGAAAGCGCCGTTGCAGTCTAAAAATTTCCAAGAATCTAATTCTAGGTCCACTGATGGATTTTGATTTTGTTTACGTATATTCCGCCTTTTATTATTTGTACAAATATTTTACAAGTATTATTTTTACAAATAAGTCAAGGCAGACAACATAGCCAACCTGACATCTTACTCCTCCTATTTTCCCCAACAACAGCAACCCTGTAAAGTGGGGTTAGGCTGAGAGAGAGAGAGAGTGAGTGAGTGGCTGGCCCAAAGTTACCCAGCTGACTTTCGTGGTAAGCTGAGTGTCAGTGTTCCAGAAAGTCCCTGTCAGTTTTGGAAGCCATATTAGCACCAGATGCTTCCCTGCTGCCACTGGGACTAGAACTCACAGTCTCCTGCTTTCTAGCCTGGTGCTTTAATCACCAGACCAAACTGGTTCTCTTGATTAAATTGGCTCAACCCCCCCCCCCCCCCGCCTCCAATAGACTGGAATCAACCCTATGAAGGCTTTGCTAGTAAAACTAAATCCTTACTAGTAGTAAAACTACTAGTTCTGATAATGGAGTCAATGTCCCAGACTGCATGGAGTTTTCTCTCCATAAGAGAGATATGGAATAATTGTTGTTGTTGTTCAGTCATTAAGTCGTGTCTAACTCTTCGTGATTCCATGGACCACAGCACACCAGACACACACACACACACACACACACACACACACACACACACACACACACACACCAATCTCCACTGTTTCTCGGAGTTTGTCCAAATTCATGCTCGTTGCGTCGATGACAACATCTAACCGTCTCACCCTCTGCCGTCTCCTTCTCCTTCCGCCTTCCATCTTTCCCAACATCAGGGCCTTCTCCAAGGAGTCCTCCCTTCTCTTTAGGCGTCCAAAGTATCTGAGCTTCAGCTCAACTTATTTCAACTGAATAATTAAGTTGAATAAATAATATTCAACTGAATAATTAAGCAAGCTCAAAAAAAAAAAAATCCCTTCTCACCCCTATGGGTGGTATGTATTTTCCTCAATCGCATGTCCTCTTCTCGAGACTTGGTTCTAGAGACCCCTCTTCTAGAGACAAAGTTCTAGAGCAGTGATGGCAAACCTTTTAGGCACCAAGTGCCCAATGTGCGCACGCGCAACCAAACTGCAAAGTGTGGGTGCGTGCGTGTCCTGGGCATGCACACATGCCCTGCGCATGTGTGGCAGAGACCCAAAGATCAACTAGCTGCCGGGAGGTGCCCGCACATGCATGGAAGAGACCCAAAACAGAGCTGGGGTGATAACGCGCGTGCCCATAGAGAGGGCTCTACGTGCCACCTCTGGCCCACTTGCCATAGGTTTGCCACCACTGTTCTAGAGACTTTAAGGGCTCCACACAGGATCTTAGCTGTTCCTAGCACTGGACTCCGGACCAAGAGCTCTAACACTGTAACTGGGATCTGTTGAAGCTCCGCTCCCAGTTTAGTAATCACAGCCCTGAGTGCTCCTGCCATCACAACATATCCATAACAAAGCTCAGTCATCCAAATCAAAAGTCACAGAAGCATGCAGAAGTTTCAGTCAAATCCCTACAGTTACCAGCAGAAGCCTCCGCAGTAAACTGGCACGACACTACAACGACCCACATACAAGGATGTCACGCAAATGCCGTGACCAATCTGAGCCCCAGTCTCTGCAGCAAGTACGCAGGTCGTGCCATTTGCCTGATGTTGCCCTGTCCATGTCATCTGAAACACACATATACACAAACACACTTTTACCTCCTCTGTGGACATCCCTACTTACCTGTTTCATCGCCAAAACTTAAATTTGCCGAAATGTTCCAACAAGGCAATTTAGATTTACTTTTAGGCACAATGTTCTTCATGGCTTGGATTTGGTAGTTATAAAAGGAGGGGAGATCAGAACTGAAAACGCCCATCGTTTGCCTGACTCAAGCAGGCAATTATTTACTGGGGTTTGACCACAATCTACGAAATAATGCTGCGTGGTTTGTTATATTGTATTCTGAGGTGACAACACAACATTAGACCCGTGGCCAGTTCCTACAGTTCCCCTCACATTTATATGCCTCCAATTCTCACATCCCTGGACAGTTTTCATGTCCAATATCTAGCCACAATTCTGTAACTACCATTTAAACTACTGTGTTTCCCCGAAAATAAGACCCTACCTTATATTTTTTGAACCCCAAAATAAGCGCTTGGCCTTATTTTCAGGGAGGTCTTATTATTTTGGGACACATGGAGCAAGATGGGGATCCTCTTTGCCGTCTTACCTGATTTCCAGCTCTGTCTCCCTAACCCTAACCAGAGGAAATGGCGGGGACCGGCTGCACATGCGTTTAAATATTTTCGGGGAGGGCTTATTTTCAGGGGGGGCTTATTTTAGCGCATGCGCTCAAAAGCCCGATTGGGCTTCTTATCAGGGGACGTCTTATTTTCGGGGAAACAGGGTATTTTCCAGGATTATTCCTCTCTATAAATAAAAGCTAAGAAAGTTTAAAAGAAAGACCCAGCACCCAGTCGATTAAAGTAGGGGTCTCCAACTTTGGCAACTTTTAAGACTCGTGGATTTCAACTCCTTGCTGGCTGGAAAATTCTGGGAGTTGAAGTCCTCCACTCTTAAAGTTGCCGAAGTTGGAGACCCCTGGATTAAAGGATGGTCATGTTTCATAGACAATGTTTACCGTAAGAGCCTCGTCCAGCCATTTTGTGAAACTGTTGCCACGTGAGGGGCCCTTGTACACCCCAAGATCGAACCGTTCGCTTTTTCTGAATGGCATCCTGAAGAACTGGTTGGAGCGAGAGCAGCATGCGAAGGACGTCCTGAGAACATTGCATGCTCACGTCTACAACTGGAAGGACAAAAGTTCATTCAGATGAATTGGGAAGCAGAGAACTGACCACAGCTTTTAATTGCTAACGGTTACATTTCTTAAGCCCAGGCCTTATAGCTCAAGATACACAGAATTAAGGAACAGGAAGGGGACATTTTCAGCTTTAGAAGTCAATTTCTTCCAGGGAGGGAGGGAGGGAGGGAGGGAGGGAGGGAGGGAGGAAGGGAGGGAGGGAGGGAGGAAGGAAGGAAGGAAGGAAGGAAGGAAGGAAGGAAGGAAGGAAGGAAGGAAGGAAGGAAGGAAGGAAGGAAGGAAGGAAGGAAGTTCAGAGCTCAACATTTCAAGGACATTTGGTTTCACTATCAAATAATTCTTCTTGTCAGTAATTTTTTTCTGGAGGTTCAAGAGGAATTGGCCTTCCTGTAACATAAACCATGTAGAATTATAGGAAACGGATCTTAGCCTTTTTCTGTGTGTTCAGGTACCTGTAGAGGGTTATTCTATCCATCCTCGACACACTCTGGTGACCCTGAGTGAGGACTTGTAAGTGATGACCTCCTTGTAAATCTCTGTCAGTTTCCACAAGTTGGAACAGGGAGAAAAATATCTAAGCCAGAAAAACCCAAGTCTGTCCCCTGGTTAATTACAATCCAGGCACTATAGCTGTCAAAAACATCCCTGTGGAAATTTCCAAGCTCAAATCAGGAAGCCTGCTATCTCATGACAGGAATTTCTTCCAAATTCCAAATTTTTTTAAAAAAATCACAACTTCCTCTTGGCTGTTGACTGGAGAGGGCAAGGATTGCTCTCTAACGTAACACATTTTGTACTGTAAAGCTTATATCAGTTTGGAGCAATGGTTGTAAATTGAGGATTGCCTGTAATGGACTGAATGCGGATTGCTAAAACTGACACAGATCATTCTGCAGACTGAAGGATCCCAAATCTTAAAGTTGATTAAATTACCATTCCCACATTCCTCTGTCACTGGGGGTTCCAAGAACAGGTAGTCCTCGATTTACAACAGTTCATTCAGTGACCGTTAAGATGTTAAAATGGCACTGAAAAAAGTGACTTATGACAGTTTTTCCCACTTAGGACTGTTACAGCATCCTCATGGTCACATGATCAAAAGTCAGATACTTGGCAACCGACTCGCATTTATGACCGTTGCAGTGTCCCGGGATCACATGATCCCCTTTTGCAACCTTCGGACAAGCACAGTCTATGGGGAAGCCAGATTCATTTAACACCCGGGTATTTACGAGACCGCCTTCTGCCACTGATAGCCTCCCACCGACCAGTACGCTTCCACAGAGAGGGGCTCCTCAGGGTGCCGTCGGTCAAACAATGCCGACTGGAGGCCCCCAGGGGGAGAGCCTTCTCTGTGGGGGCACCTACCCTCTGGAATGAGCTGCCCCCGGAGATACGGCGTATCCCGGATCTAGGCACCTTTCGCTGTGCCCTAAAGACGTTTTTATTCCAACAAGCCGGGCTGGCCTAAACTCTTTTAAATTGTTTTAATTTTTAAACTGTTTAATTAAGGGTTTTAATACAGGGGTGCTTTTAATTGTGGGCCAAATTAATTTAATCGGATTTTAATACTGTTTTTAAATTTTGTATTTCTTGTGTTTTATCTGTTGGCTGTTCACCGCCCCGAGTCCTTCGGGAGAAGGGCGGTATATAAATATAAACAATAAATAACTAAATAAATAAATAAATACCCGGGTCACTAACTTAACAACGGCTGTGATTCACTTAACAACCATGGCAAGGAAAGTTGTAAAATGGGGCAAAACTCACTTCACAACTGTCCTGCTTAGCAAAGGAAATTTTGGACTCAATTGAAGTCGCAAGTGAAGGACTACCTGTAGCCTACAGGTTGTTGTTGTTGTTGTTTCCAGCCAGTTTAATCTGTAGATTAAACAGCTCTAACATTCCTGAAGTTGACCAGAGTTGTATATGAAGTGGTAACTTCCCACTGAGATGACACAGAAGACTATAATTGTTCAGGATGTTGTAGATGACACAGAGGCTGCAGAACACAACTGCTAAAATTGCTGGTGAGGACATCAGTTGCAAATCACACCTATGTTCTACTCCAGGTGTTCATCGGGGTTTTGTTTTTTTTCCTGGCTTGCGTTGCAGTTTAGTGATAGTATCATCTTGCATTTTGTTTCTAATCCAGATTTGTTTTTATTAGGTTTTTTTACTTTATTGTTCCATATTGATTTTATCACACTCCCAGAATTACTTTAGGGCTGTTTATAAATATTTTATGAGAGATATATATCTCAATTTTCGTTCGGGAACTTAAGGCAGGATACATAAACGCTTTTGTGTTTTCCCACAATAACAGCTTCACCAGTTAAGCTGGGCTGAGAGAGAAAGTGATTGGAGCGTCTCTGACTGAGGATGGATTTGAACCAGGTTTCCCCAGAGCCAGTAATATTTTTTTTAAAAAAAACAGACTGGCTTTGAGTCGGTTGCAGTCTGTAGAGATTCTCAGTCATCCAGGTCATGGTTGTCCCAAAGGTGCTTCAATGACCCTCTAAAACAGGGGTCCTCAAACTTGTCAGCTTTAAGACTTGTGGACTTCAACTCCCAGAATTCTCCAGCCAGCATAGTTATGCTGGCTGGAGAATTCTGGGAGTTGAAGTCCACAAGTCTTAAAGCTGACAAGTTTGAAGACCTCTGCTCTAAAAGGATGCAAATGACCAGCTGTCTGCAAGGAATATAAATCCTTCCATTCCCCACCATCCTGTTAGAGCTGAAGAAGCTTCTTGGAGAAAAAGGTGAAACGTCTTCGAAGAAAAAAGCAAGAAAGCCCAGTTGCCTCCTGAAAAAGCACCTTTGGGACAGACTGGCTTTCAAATACTGTCTTTTAAAAAACATGAAAAGTAAACATGATTCCATGTTTAACTAAACCCTTTATACCTCTCCTACCAACTGTTATAAGTTCTTCATATAAAGATAGTCCTCCAGTTACAACCCTAACTGAGCCTAGTAATTAAGGTCGTCATGACAGTTGTAAAGCAGGTTGATTTTAGGACCTTGTTCCCGGTAGTTACTAAGCGAACACCATGGTTGTTTTCGGCAAAACTGTTACAAATTGTATGCATATGACTGTGTCCATAGATGCAGGCCAGTGCAGTGCTAAGTGCCCAGAATGTGGTCACATGACTGCTGGAGAAGGGTGTATGTCATAATTTCGAAACTGGGTTGTAAATCCCTTTCGGGGGTCCATTGTAACTTCGAATTGTCATTAAACTATTAATTGTAGGTCGAGGACTACCTGTACTTCATAGGTTTTCTGCTGTTCTTGCCTTGTTGAAGATGATCTATCAACTTTATCAACTTTAAGATGAGTGGACTTCAACTCCCAGAATTCCCCAGCCAACAAAGCTTGTTGAATTCTGGGAGTTGAAGTCCATGCATCTTAAAGTTGATGAGGCTGAGAAACACTGATCTAATATAATGTTTCTCAGCCTTTCAATTTAAAGATGTGCAGATCAGCTCTTAGAATTCCTTAGCAAGGAAGGCTAGCTGGGGAATTCTGAGAGTTGAAATCCACCCATCTTAAAGTTGCCAAGGTTGAAAAACACTGTTCTAAAAAATTAGGAACAGATAAGCAAGTTATTGTTTCTGATGGAAAAGAATATTTGTAACTCAGGGTTAAACTGTGAGATCCAGAGGCTCTCTGAGCTTGGCTGTTTTCTTGCAGACATTTCATTACCAAACTAGGTAACATCATCAATGCAAGCTCTTGTTTCTTTGCCATTTCTTGTCAACCAACTATTCACATGAGCTTTAGTGATGCAGCTGTTGTGCAGGCTACTTCTGCTGACTGCCGGCTGACTGCAATTTGGCAGTTCGAATCTCACTAGGCTCAAGATTGACTCTGCCTTCCATCCTTCCGAGGTCATCAGTCAAATGAGGACCCAAATTGTTGTGGGCAAGAGGCTTATTCTGTAAAACCGCTTAGAGAGGGCTGTAAAGCACTATAAAGCGGTATATAAGTCTACGTGCTAGTGCTATTGTAAATCCATGTTTTTACCTGGGATTAAAACACATTCTTTTGTTCGATCGGCAAACTGAGGCACTTACCATTTCGTTTCGACCAGTGATGCAAACAAGTACTCTTCACAAGCGCTTCGTCAACCTTCCCCCCGGACATGTTGTCCATAAACTGGCGTCCATGTTCCAATGCGAGATAGCAGTCGTAGCAACAGTCTCTTTCCTCAGCCCGCACCAGATTGCCCGCGGCGCTAACTTTGGGCAAGGGGTCTTGATCTGCTGCTCCAAACGGCGAAAACAAGTTGGTGCACTGGTCTTGCAGCAAAAGTATCAGCTCGTCTGGAAGCCGGTCCGACTCTTTCAAGCTTCCACTCTGCTCGATGGAAGCAGTGCGAAGGGCCTCGAAGCGTTTCTCCGCTTCTTTGCTGCATTCCGAATTGCGGCCCAAGATGTCTAACTCATCCTCGAGGAACAATCCCGAGCTGTTGCCAAATTTCCGGTTCATGACCGCGCTGAATCCACACGTACACCTGTACTGGGCTTCCTGGGTGGGGTCTGGAATGTAAACTCCGACGTCAGCACCTTTGATGTTCATGTTGCAAACGCAAATGCAACAGCTGTCAAAGTTACAGTCTTTGAAAAGATTCATCACCGATTCGGACAGAATGAGGGTGACGTAGAGGCTGTGCGCCTCAGGAATTGACGGGACCGTCGCCGGCTCGACCGAGTTTAAGGGCCTGCAGGTGGACGGGGTCGAGGCTGGCGAGTACAAATCGGAATTCTCGTACTTGACGGAGCCTTGTGCGCTTGCTGGCCCACCCGCCCCGCGGGGAGTCCGAGGCGTCCTTGGAGTCCGGGGAGTTGGAAAGCGAGGGGTGGAAGGGGAAGGAAGGATCCCAGCGCCGCTGTTGCTTGGCGGGGCGCTGCTGGGGGGCATACCAAACGGGGTATGTGTCTGCGGAGTGTAGGCAGGGCCGTACTCTTGATCAACGGTGCTCCCGTCCCTGAAGAAGAAAGGGAAAAGCTTTTAATTCAAGACTTTCAAAGCCAATGGGACATATAGTGACCAAAGCATAATTATAAAGAGTTATACAGGTGGTCTGATGACCATAAAGGGGGTCTACCAAGGACAGGTAGTCATCGACTTACAACCACCATTGAGCCCAACATTTCTGTTCTTAAGTGAGACATTTGTTAGGTGAGTTTTGTCCCATTTTACAACCTTTCTTGCCACACATTTGAAGGGAATCACTGTCGTGGTTACGTTAGTCACACGGCTGTTAAGTGAATCCGGCTTCCCCATTGATTTTGCTTGTCAGAAGGTCGCAAAAGGAGATCGCGTGACACCCCCCACCCCCAGGACACTGCGTTCGACATAAATACAAACCAGTTACCAAGCGTCTGAATTTTGATCACGTAACCACAGGGATGCTGCAACGGTTGTAAATGTGAAAAATGATCATAAATAAAGTCACTTTTCCACTGATGTTTATAACTTTGAACAGTCCCTAAACGAACTGTTGTTAAGTCGAGGACTACCTATCCGTACAGTCATAAGTCATGATGGTCATAAAGCGAGTCATCATGTGACTGGACCCGATTTCATTACTCTTTTTGAATCAGTCGTTAAAGCAAATGGCACAGCAGTTAAGCAGTCATTAATTGAAACCATGGTTCGTTATAGAGTGTTTATTGCCGGAAACTGGAAGTAAATGCTGGTTTCTGGCAAAGTTGCAGTAAGTCACGGTCACATGACCATGGGATGCTGCAAACAGCCTACAGGTCAGCTCCGAGTATGACAGGTCGTAAGTCGAGGACTAACTGTAAGCAGCAAGGAGCAACAAATGATTCCACACCTCCTTGATGTGTTAAAACAACTTAATATATGTATCTTACATTAGCTTTCTTTCATTTCAATTTTACAGGAATGCTATATTTTTAGTGCTTTGTGCTCTACTTCGATGAGAGAAAAATATTATTGTTGCTTATTGATATTAAAAAATAAGTGATTGGTCTCAAACACTGATTGGAGAATTTGTAAGTTAAAGATCTTTTCCAACGGAATAGAACATTTATACACATTTTTTCCCTATAAATGAGAAAAATATTGCGACACACATACCCACTCCACATACCTAGCACTATCAGACTTCCAGAATTATAGAGGAAATTCCTGGTTTGTCTTTACTCTTAATAGACTTCATGGCTTATTAAAATTGATAGAATTAAGCACCCCAAGATACTCCTTACACTGCAATCAAATTTGTACACCTGTTAAATATTTTTAACAACGATGTTTAAATGGAGAAAAAAAAATAAGCAATGATAAATTATGGTTTGCCATAAAGAAAAGATGGACTAGGGGTGACAGGATAGCAGTATATTCCAGTATTTGAGGGGCTGCCACAAAGAAGAGGGGGTCAGACTATTCTCCAAAGCACCTGAGGGCAGGACAAGAAGCAACGGATGGAAACTAATCAAGGAGAGAAGCAACCTGGAACTAAGGAGAAATTTCCTGATAGTGAGAACAATTAATCAGTGGAACAGCTTCCCTCCAGAAGTTGTGGGATGCTCCATCACTGGAGGTTTTTAAGAAGAGATTGGACAACCATTTGTCTGAAATGGTGTAGAGCAGGGGTGTCAAACTCAAGGGTGCTTAGATCGGGGGGGGGGGGTGCCCTGGAAACAGCTAAAGACTGGCCTGCGGTGCCTTTGCCAATAAAAACAGGCTCCCAATCTCCGTTTTCAGCTGGGACAGCCTCCTGCAACCCCCCTGCCAGCGAAAATGGAGCTCCGTTTTCACTGGCAGAGGGTTGCAGGAGGCCATTGCAGCCAAAAACGGAGATTGGGAGCCCGTTTTCGCTGGCAGAGTACTTGGGCCACCAGAGGCACCCCTGACACGAGTGACGTTGAGCTGGCCATGCCCACCACGGCTCCCTGAGGTCAAACACAACCCTGATGCGGCCCTCAATGAAATCGAGTTTGACACCCCTGGTGTAGGGTCTCCTGCTTGAGCAGGGGGTTGGACTAGAAGACCCCCAAGGTCCCTTCCAGCTCTATTCTGACTGATTGACATAAATGACACTTTCCAAGTGTTGTCATCACTTAGAAATTGTTAAATAAACAAACAAACCTAAGCGTTGCTGAAATGCATATGGATTTCGTAAAACGCAGCCATGATCTCGCACCAATATGTTTGTCAGAAGACAATGTGAAATCGTTTCTTAAGCTCAATGAAATCCCTTTATTATCTCACCTTAAAGAAACACTTACCCCTCTTTAATGAATGGCATTGTGGGTCCTGGCGGAAGCAAATCCAACTTGCCAACAGTCCAACTCTGTCGATAAACACACTCCTCTGGCAATTTGATGGCAGGGAGACAGTGGCTTGGGAGAGTTTTCAGTGGGGCGAACATGGAACATCCCATGAAAGCTTGACTGTTCTCAGGCTTATAAACATAGGAATAATCCTGAAACACACACCAGGAAGAGCATTTAAAAAGAGCTATGGATGGAAAGTTTAAGCAGAAAGACTCATGGATTTCAGTTTCAAATGCTGAAATGATCAGTTGTCTCACCCTGGATAGGAAACTGCAGGCAGTTCTCGCTTAGTGACCCGTCTCTTAATGTACATTCAAAGGTACGACAGCCCACACACACACACACACACCCAAAAAAAAGTTATCCCAAAGATGCTTTTCAAAAGGCAACTGGACTTTTTGCGTTAAAAAAAAAAAACCAAAACCCTTGAAAATGTTTTGTTTCTCATCCAAGAAACTGTTTCCAAGAAACTGAAGAACTGAAGAAGTTTCTTGGATGAGAAGCGAAACCTTTTCAAGGAAAAACAAAACAAAACAAAACAAGAAAGTCCAGCTGTCTTTTGAAAAGGACCTTTGGGACAACCATGACCTGGATGATTGAGAATCTCCACAGACATTCCCCCAAAAGCTACTTACCACCCAGTCCCGAATTTACAGCTATTGCAATGCCCCTGTGATCATTTACCCTTACGTTGCAGTGCCCATCAGGAGGATGGGGGGCTTTGGGAGACCTGGGGTAGGTAGGCCTGGGCCTGAACTAGGCCTCCAAAGGCCTCCCCCCCCCCAAGGCAATCTGTACTCTGTTTAAATGACCTGCACATTCATTTAACTGCTTCACCGGGGAAAGCAGCAGATGTGGGTTGTTAAGCAAAGCCACCTCGTTTTACAGCCATCATGACATGGGACCATAATGGGCAGCCTCTATTAAGGTCGTATGTCAAGGACTACATACACTGGGGGTGGGGGAGGAGATACTAGTGGAAGAAAAATAGGCTCCTATCTGAGCATAGATAATTGCGAAGTTCTCGTTCGTGGCAACATCTGTTTTCCCCCATTGCCAATGCACCTCCTCTACGTAAAATGCATTCACCTCGTGACTGATACAGACAGAAGCAAAGTTAATATTTAATTTGAATGCAGGGCTGAAAAAAGTCAAAAGTTAATCAAACAAGCTGTTGTCACAGCTAATGAAACGTGAGTCCATTTCACTGCGCACCCAAATAAAGCTATGAAAAATCTCGTAATGGTGGTAGAAAAAAACACCACCACCAAAATGAATTCCAGGAGAAAAATAAAATAAATAAGAAGTATTAAAATGAACAATCCTGGCTGTTTCAGAAGAAATGTACCATTCAGAAAAACATTATAAACCAACCAAACAAAAAACTGTTAAATTGTCCTCCTCTTGTCACTTTTATAGATCAATCAAAACTAGACAGCATAACTAACATTCAAGAACATCCAAAGGAATTCACAAACCTTTATTTCCATAGGTTTTGGACTACAGAATCCCTCATCCACTTCAATCCTGAACTGAAGGCCACCAGTAACACCGTTTCCTTCTAGGATCGTTCCTCCGGGTGTGGTGTCCATGCTGCCGTACTCCTTATTGTTCATATTCATGGGAGAAAATCCCATAATGTGTTGCTCCAAAGATGGTGGCGTGGGATACATTTTATGAAGATCTGCTGTACCTGGTTTAGGTTCAAGTTATTTAACATGTTATTTTTCCTTCCACACATCAGGCTACTAAATTAGTACAGCTACTTTCATGAAATTACCATTCTGCATGTTTTACTCTTTTGTCTTCTGTTTAAAGGACACAGAGGCCTACTAAGACATATTAATTTTCTGAAGAGAGTTTTGCAAAGCTAAAGCACAGACATTTTTGAATCAGCCCTTTTAGGGCTCCTACATGTTCAAATGGTTACACACCTAGTCAATCTGCAAGCCAGCTCACAAATAGCATTCAATTCCACAAACCCACAATAGTGCTCTCTCATTTCTAGTGGGACCATCAGAATAAATGGGATAAATAATTACTTGTCTTTTTTTTTTAAAAAAAATGTTACATAAGCTTAACTAAAAATTGGGCAAGAATCCAATCTGGAAATCAAGAATCTTCCTTCCTATCTATCTATCTATCTATCTATCTATCTATCTATCTATCTATCTTTCTTCCTTCCTTCCTTCCTTCCTTCCTTCCTTCCTTCCTTCCTTCCTTCCTTCCTTCCTTCCTTCCCTTCCCTTCCCTTCCCTTCCCTTCCCTTCCCTTCCCTTCCATGTATTTGCCACCCATCTCACCACCAGGCGACACTGAGCGGCTTACCATTATACAGAAATTAACAAAAATGAGACCTGATAAAAATGTTATGAAAGAAGCTTTCTCCCTTTCCTTTTCATTTCCCCCAACCACTAATCACTAAATATTTGTCTTTTGCACTGAAGATTAAACATTGGGGATTGCTGCTTATATCTGTTTAAATCATTTCATTTTGTCATTTTTAATTATTCTTTTAACTCTAGAAATTCCAAAGGTGCATTTTCCAAACGGCATCTGGAATTTTTGGTCATTTTCCTTTGAAAAGATTTCGCTTCTTATCCAGTTCTGAAGAAGAGGTTTCTCGGATGAGAAGAAAAACATTTCATCCACTTGCTGTTTGGAAAAAGGACCTTTGGGACAACCAATGACCTGGATAATTGAGAATCTCTGTAGATAATTCTAGAAATCATATTCTAAATGTCTAAATGTTCTTTGCCGTGTTGTATGTTATGAATAAGGGAATAATTTCTGCTTAAATTTAGTTAATCTTCTGTTATGAAAATATACTATTAGTTTTGCTTTTGCTGCCTATTCTCCAATTTTGGTCTCCCAAGCTTGTATCCACAACCAATTTTCATTTTTCCAGGGCAGAACGTAATTTATTTTAGCTGCTGTCATCATATATTTTAGTAAGTTATAATATTTTTCATTTATACATCCTGTAATTACAGCATTCCTAATAGGAATATTTATGGTTTGAGGCCAAATTTTTGTATATTTTGTTATATTTCCTTCCAGATGAATTTAGGTATTTTTGCACAAACAGCACGTGTAATAAAATGTTCAAAAGAATATTTTATTACATGTGGTGTTCCTGCAAAAATATATGGCATTTCCAGCATTTATTATACATGATTTGTCCATCTTGACAATCACTGATGGAGTTATATACCCTCTTTAAAACATTTTATACCAATTTTGCCTCAAATTATAGCTTGAGTGAATGTTATTGATTTTTTCACAGCTCTTCCCATTGTTCCACTGTAATTACTTCCTTGAAGTTTTGCATCAATTTTTAATTTGTTCCATCTCCATGACATATTTCAGTAGCAATTTATAAATATATCCTAGGAAATGTTCCTGACTCGTATAAGTGCTTTGAATTCTGTCATCCTTCTCAGGGCCCGTTCTTGAGTCTTGAGGTCATTTGTTATTCTTTCAGCAATTTGTAATTTATTAAGTATGGTAAATTCCTATCTTTATTAAGCAAATTTATAAATATATTAACTATGGTAAATTCCTATCTTTAGGAACTTGCCATGTCCTTAGTCTGTTTTTTTTGAAGCTGAATGTACCATATTAGTATAAATACCTAAAACTTGCTGTATCCTAACAAATTCTTTTATTTTCTTTTTCTGTTTCGTTGTACCATAACTACTTCTGAAGTCCGTTGGCTACTTTTATCATTGACGTTCTACTATTTGGAGAATTTTATCCATTCTGTTAACCATAAGAAACAGCTTGCTCAATAACATAATTTAAAGTTCGGAAATTTAAGTCCACCTCTTTGAGCCTTGCAAAATTTTGAATCTTAATCTTGTTTTTGCTCCACTCCATATGAATCTGTGGATTGCCGGTTCAGCAATACTTTATCTAAGATTGTCCTAAAGGTGTTTTTTCAAAGGGCAACTGGACTTGGTTTTTCCTTGAAGACATTTTGCTTCTCATCCAAAAAGTTTCTTTAGTTCTGGTAGGGTTGGTTCTTCTGGTTCTGTTGCTCTTGTTATGTTGTGTTATGCTAATTGTGCCTTCTTTGTAAACTCTGGGACCTCCTCCAATACTTCTGTTGGTAGAAGTGATTTCAGCTCTTGGAGTTTTGTGTTCCATACTCTTTCTTTCAAAACCTCAATTGTAAAATTAATTTGTCTTATTCTTTCATATATTTTTTTTAATTTGATTTATATGCCGCCCTTCTCCGGAGACTCAGGGTGGCTTACAATGCGCTAAGCAATAGCCTTCATACTTTTGTATATTTATACAAAGTCAGCTTATTGCCCCCACAATCTGGGTCCTCATTGAGAAGTTGGAGCTGTGCTTTCTGCAGAATGTTTTTCTCTGCCCTGTGTCCCTTCAGGCGCATGTTGTCTACATCTCAAAAACACAAATGGTTCCTGTAGTCTGCAATTTTTCTGGAAATCCGTTCATACTCCTGCCCCATTCGAAGGATGTTCATCCCAAAGTATTCATTCTGAAGTGTTCTTCTCTAAGACTGGAATTTACTTCTTAGATCAGGGGTGTCAAACTTGATTTCATTGAGGGCCGCATCAGGGTTGTGTTTGACCTTGGGGCCACGGGGGGCATGGCCAGCATGACGTCACTTGTGTTGGGGGGCGTCTGTGGTGGCCTGAGCGCTCTGCCAGCGAAAACAGGCCCTCGCAAGCTTCATTTTCGGCTGCAATGGCCTCCTGCAAACCTCTGCCAGAGAAAACAGAGCTTGGGAGGATGTGTGCGGCCCTCCCAAGCGCCATTTTCACTGGCAGAGGCACTGCAGGCCGGTCTGTCACTATTTCCAGGCGGGCCAGATGTAAGCACCCTGTGGACCGGATCCGGGCCTTCAGTATGACACCCGTCTTAGATGGTTGAAAATTTTACTTTCTATGTACTCAGGTACTAATAAAGGAGAATATTTGTCGCTCAGGATTGAAATGAGGGGTCCTTGGTGCTCTCGGAGCTTGGTTGCTTTCTTGCAGACATTGCATTACCCAAACTGGGTAACATTAGCCTGGCACTGATAATGTTACCTAGTTTGGGTATTGAAACATCTGCAAGAAAACAAACAAGCTCAAACAAGCATGAGGGGTCCTTGGTGTGACCCCTCATGCTTGAATACCTTATAACCTGGGCCAGGCTTCCCAATGTGGTGTCTTCAGGTTCAGTTGGACTGCAACCTTCATAATTTTCTGCCAATATGAGAAAACTGTCCTAGAACAGCATTTTTACCAGCACCAACTAAAGGGAACTATTTTGTTTTATTTTCTTTTTGGTTGGTACTGTATCTACTTCCACGATAAAAGTTTCTCACTATCAAACCACAAAGATAACCCAAGAAAAATCGTGACACTAGAAGAAAGCAACTTACTTATGCATGACAATGGGTCCAGGTTTCCAGCTTTTGATTCTTTGCAACTAGACTTGTCATCTGTTCCATTCAATATTCTTTTAGATCCCGGCTAGGAATGAAAGAAAGAAAAATAAATATCCCAGGGGCATGAGTTCCAAATTGTAACACTGGACAATTTTTTTTAAAAAAAAGTAAAATAATTAACAATTTTTTTAAAAAATGCAAGCAAACAGCTGAGCTAATAAAACAGAATATCATCCAAATCACATCATACATTAAAAGCTTCAATTATCTGCATATGTTCCTTTGACAACATCTGGGTAACTGTTTCTGCATGGCCATTAAATTTGAGAGTAAAACAGAGAGAAAATTCATCAGCATTTTCCCCAGGACCGCATATCATTTATTAAGATGTATGGAGAGGATAGTGTGATGCTGAATATAACATCACTGATGCAGTAAATCAGTTGGAAGCAATTGGCCATCTAAAGAGATGGTTTTTCTTCTCAGCAGCACCAACTTCACTGGAAGAATGACTTAAGGCAGGACAAGAAGCAACAGATGGAAACTTATCAAGGACAGAAGCACCCTAGAACTAAGGGAGAAATTTCCTAACAGTGAGGACAATAAACCAGTGGAACGACTTCCCTCCAGAAGTTGTGAATGCTCCAACACTGGAAGCTTTCAAGAATAGATTGGACAACCATTTGTCTGGGATGATGTGCTTGAGAAAGGGGTTGGACTAGAAGACACCCCCCCCAGGTCCCTTCCAACTGTATTCTGATCGATTGATATTATTAAATAAATTTGGCTGCCTAAATCACACACTGCTGATAGTTTACAACATTTAAAAATCCACCACATAAAAACCCATAAAGACATAGGAGAACAAATCCATCAGGACAAGATTCAGTAGTCCCTCTGCATTTAAAAGACAACGGCCACTCTTTTGAAAGCAGCAACGTCCACATTTTGGACAGAGAGGACCGCTGGTTTGAAAGAGGGATCTCAAAGAGGCCATCTATGTCCAAATTGAGCAGCCCTCTCTCAACAGAAGGAAAGGGATACAACGTCATCTATCTCCAGTCTACAACACAATCCTTTCAGCAGTTCCAAGAAGGCTCCACACACCCATTTGGCATTACTCAAGGTGACCCTGAGACAAACCTCCAAGTGGCCTCAACAAGTCTCAAAAAGAATGCAAATCCTTCCATTCCCCACCATCCAGCCAGAGCTGGATGAGAAGCGAAACGTCTTCAAAGAAAAGACCAGAAAATCCAGTTGCCTCTCAAAAAAAGCAACTTTGGAACAACTATAAAAATCCCACCCCACTCCCTATGGCAGCAGCAACAGATCACCATTATCACACTACTGTAAGGCTCCCAACCTTAAAAAGCTACTTACTGTTAGCTCATCTTCATCAGAGTTGAAGAGATTGTCAAGGTCAGTATAGGAGACAACCAGGTCATTTTCATGGAACAAACTAGTTGAAGCCGTGCGATTGTGAGGGGGATTACGCTGCGCATCTATTGCTGAAAGAAGACCAAGGTCAAAGCTTCAGTTAGGCATTATCTAAATTGTAACATTTCCACTGCAGGTTGTCATTTTATTAGAGGCTCTACTACCAAACAAACAAATGCAGGTAATCCTCCACTTACAACAGTTTGTTTAGTGACCATTCAAAGTTACAACAGCACTGAAAAATGGGACTTTCAGCCACTTTTCACAGTTACGACTTTTGCAGCGGCCCTACGATCACATGATCAAAATTCTGATGTTTGACAACTAGTTCGTATTTATGACGGTCAGTGTCCCAGGCAGTGGTGAAATCCAAATCTTGTTACTACCGGTTCTGTGGGCATGGCTTGATGGGCGTGGTGTGACTTGGTGGGCGTGGCAGGGGAAGAATATTACAAAATCTCCATTCCCACCCCACTCCTGGGGGAAGGATATAGAAAAATCTCCATTCCCACCCCACTCTGGAACTAGCCGGAGGTGGTATTTGCCGGTTCTCCGAACTACTCAAAATTTCTGCTACCGGTTCTCCAGAACCCGTCAGAGCCTGCTGGATTTCAGCCCTGGTCATGTGACCCCCTTTTGGGACCTTCTGACCAGCAAAGTCAATGTGGAAGATTCACTTAACAACCATGTTACTAACTTAATAACTGCCATGATTCACTTAATAACTGTGGCAAGAAAGATCGGAAAAATTCACTTTAACGAATGTCTCACTTATCAACAAGGTTGACTCAGCCTTCCATCCTTTCTAAGGTAGGTAAAATGAGGACCCAGATTATGGGGGCAATAAACTGACTTTGTATAAATATACAAAAGAATGATGGCTATTGCTTAACGCATTGTAAGCCACCCTGAGTCTCCGGAGAAGGGCGGCATATAAATGAATTTTTTTTAAAAAAACATAAATTTTGGGCTCAATTATTATCATATTTGAGGATCACCTGTACATTCCAGTTACTCTTACAGATTTAATTATTATTATTTTTTACAATAAGCCAGCTAAACATTTTTTCTAAAAATCAAGAAATTTTACCTTGTTTGACCGAAGGGCTGAAAAGTGACATTGCATCTTCTCCAACACTGGGTGTTCCATCGTCAGGCTGTGAAAAAGGTAACAGTTAGTAGCACAAATGAAAGAGGGATATGTGATAACCCCAAAAACAATTAGAGTCCGACATCCACTGAGACCAACCACTTAGCAGAGCACTGCCTCGTTCGTTGCCAGTTGATTCCCTTTAAAGAGCTGCTGTATCAAAACCTTTTTACATGAAGATCTTTGAGACAATTTAAGATCTCTGTGCTCCACTCTCTCAGCTATGATATCTTCAAAGTTAAAAAGGCTAGAGAAGTGAGCAGGCAGAATCACAGACCAACAAACCTACTCTGTAAAATATTTTGTGCACAACCCTAAAATTTGAGTAAGATACTTTTTTTTTCTTCTTTTTTCCCAGCTCTCTTCTCCCCCCCCCCTCTTTCCTTTCCTTTCCTTTCCTTTCCCTTCTATTTATTTATTTTATTTATTTATTAAATTTGTATACCGCTCTTCTACTTTTGGACTCAGGGCGGTGAACAGCCAAAATAAAACATTCGTACAAAAGTTAAAATATTTTTTTAAAACTAATTAAATAGAATTTGGCCCGTAATTTAAAACATCAATTAAAATCAATATCAAATGTTAAAACCAACATGGAATCAGGCCAGCCCAGCTAGCTGAAAAAAGTAAGTTTTTAGGGCCCGACGAAAAGTCCGGAGGTCAGAGATCATTCGTATCTCTGGAGGTAGATCGTTCCAGAGGGTAGGTGCCACCACAGAGAAGGTTCTTCCCCCTGGGGGTCGCCAGCCGACATTGTCTGGCTGATGGCACCCTGAGAAGGCCCTCTCTGTGGGAGCGAACCGGCCGGTGGGAGGCAATTGGTGGCAGAAGGCGGTCCCGTAAGTACCCTGGCCCTAAGCCATGGAGCACTTTAAAGGTGGTCATTCCTCCACCCTTTCTTTTCCTTTCCTTTCCTTTCGCAATGGATGGAAATTAATCAAAGAGAGAACCAACCTAGGGACGAGGGACTTTCTGACAGAATCATTTAGCAGCGGAACACAAAAGGAAAAAAAAAAAACTTTTAGCAGATACATATTCCATAAGAAGGGTGTATCCTGATCACAGGTTGATCCAAATCTTCCCAAGCCCCTATGCGTTTTGTATTGAGATATAAATATTTTAGATGGGACTAACAACTGAACCAAATCTGTCAGCTTTTCTCTTTGAAGGCAGATGCTATGCTATGCTCTGCCACTATTTGTATTTTTGAAGAAAACTTTGACATTCTAAACAAACCTGGTGCACTGATGAAGTTAACTAGTTGGGTCATGAAACGTCTGCAAGAAAACTATCAAGCTCACACAGCACAAAGGACCCCACAGCTCAATCCTGAGCTGCAAATGTTCTTTTCTATTGATAGAATTAGTTGTACAGACTTTGTGCTCCTGTTGTGTGTAATCCATCACATTAAAACGTCCCCCCGCCTCAAAAAAAGCCTAGATCCTTAAGCCACCACAGACGCCCCCCCCCCACAAGTGATGTCATGGTGGCCATGCCCACCCATGGCCCCCCAAGGTCAAACACAACCCTGATGCAGCCCTCAATGAAATCGAGTTTGACACCCCTGCCCTACTGGTTTATATCCTGATTTTTTTTTTCCACTTACCTTATGTTTTTTCCCAATTTCTCGGTCATTGTTTGGCCTGTCCTTTTTATCGGGAAATGGGAACTCTTCATCTCCATCAACAAATGCATATGGGTCCATTTCAAGCTCCTGGTCAGCTACTATAGCTGCTAGGTATTGGTTCTTGCTCTGGTACTGCTGTATCAATTCATCGGAGACCTTGAGAGGTTTTCTATATTGCAACATTAATCTACGGGAAAAGAAAAAGACAGAACAATAAGGTATACAAGTTGAAAATGCAAAATCCGATTGTGATTAGACAGTTAAGAAGGCAACAAAAAAAACCCAGAATAACAAGAGTTGGAAGGGACCTTGAAGGTCTTCTAGTCCAACTTCCTGCCCAGGCAGGAAACCCTACACCACTTCAGACAGATAGTTGTCCAACATCTTCTTAAAAACTTCTAGTTTTGGAGCATTCACAACTTCTGGAGGCAAGTTTTTCCACTGATTAATTGTTCTCGCTGTCAGAAAATGTCTCCTTAATTCCAGATTGCTTTTCTCCTTGATTAGTTTCCACCCATTGCTTCTTGTCCTGCCTTCAGGTGCTTTGGAGAATAGCTTGACTACCTCTTCTTTGTGGCAGCCCCTGAGATATTGGAAGACTGCTTTCATGTCTCCCCTAGTCCTTCTTTTCATCAAACTAGCCATGCCCAGTTCCTGCAACCGTTCTTCCTATGTTTTAGCCTCCAGTCCCCTAATCATCTTTGTTGCTCTTCTCTGCACTCTTTCTAGAGTCTCCACATCTTTTTTACATCATGGCGACCAAAACTGGATGGAAATATTCCAAGTGTGGCCTTACCAGGGCCTTATAAAGTGGTATTAACACTTCACGTGATCTTGATTCTATCCCTCTGTTAATGCAGCGTAGAACTGCATTGGCTTTTTTTGGCAGCCGCTGTAAGAGAAGAAGCAATGTGGAACTACTTGCATTCAGAAGTTGTGGGTAGCCCCATCACTGGAGGCTTTTAAAAAAAGAATGGACAGCCATTTGAAATGGTATAGGGATTCCTGCTTGAGGAGGGGGTTGGATTAGAAGACCTCCAAGGTCCCTTCCAATTCTGTTATTCTGTTAAGCGTTACTCACAGTTGTATCCATCTTTTCACCAAGCAGCTCCAATAATATGGAGCAATTTATCACCCTGCAGAAAATGGGTTAGTTAACAGAGCTCAGTCTAAGACTACTATCGTAAGCAAGAATTATGGGTCTATTTTTTTTTTCTGATCTAGCTCTTTAAGTAATATACCATATTAATCCTCTCACATTAGAATTAAAAATAGTTAACTTCTATGAAGGTGTGTAAGTTTTCTTTAAGAATATTAGGCAATATTTCTTTGGCTACATATGTGCAGAATAATGTTGTTTCAAGTTTTTTATGTCCTTGCACAAGTAGTCCTCAACTTGTGGCCACAATTGAGCCCAAAGCTGTCTGTTGCTAAGTGAAACAGTAAAGTGAATTTTGCCACATTTTACGACCTTCCTTACCACAGTTGTTAAGGGAATCACTGCAGTCATTAAGTTAGTAACACGGTTGTTAAGCGAATCTGGTTTCCCCATTGACTTTGCTTGTCAGAAGGTTGCAAAAGGGGATCACGTGACCGCGGGACACTGCACTTGTCATAAGTATGAGTCAGTTGCCAAGTGTCTGGATTTTAATCATGTGAACATGAGGATGCTGCAACAGTTGTATGTGTGAGAAATGGTCATAACTCACTTTTTAAAGTGCCGTTGTAACTTTGAACAGTCACTAAATGAATTGCTGTTAGCCGAGGACTACCGGTATTTGAATAACACAACACGTTGGGTTCACAAAACTCATTTCCTCCATTGTAGCCACAGTAATTTTACTATATCAAAATCCATACTTTTAAAAATGGCCATCCTAGTTAAGATTCTATTCTTACAAAATGATTAGGGAGAAAGTGAGCAGTCTTTTTTTCCCCTCTGTTCCTTTTCAGCAGCTAGTATTCAGATAAAAATCTATCTCCATTTGTGTCAATAAAGCTACTAAAGAATTGTGATGTGTATCATACAGCTTGGGAATCAGCACTGAAACCTGTTGGAAGACTTGACTGATTTCCCCATTTAGCAGATTACAGTGTAATTAACACAGAATTTCCACACTGGGGCACAGTTATTCCCCGAGTGACCTGATCTGAGAAGAGTGTATAAAACTATGCTATTTATTGAAAAAGTTGAGCATCTTATGATCACAACATTCTCAGTTAGTACAACCAGGATTGAAGGCAATATTGAAAATGAGACTGTATTCAAATACTATATTATAGTCAGTCCTCTAGTTTTTCTGGAGGACCACTCTAAGAAGATTGGTGGTCTAATTCCACCACCACCAGTAAACAATCTGGGTTTGTGGGGTCCTTGGTGCTCTCTGAGTGTAGTGGGTTTCCTGGAGACGTTTCATTACCCAACTAGGTAACATCATCAGGCTTAGCACTGATTATTAACTAGCACTCAGAGATCACCAAGGAACCATAGAGTTCAATCTCTGAGTTTATAGAGCAATGATGGTTAACCTTTTTGGCACTGAGTGCCGAAGGCAAGCAAGTGCGCGCGAACACACATACCCATAATGCAATGCATGTGTAACCCCCCACGCATGCACCCCACCCCCACGCATGCGTGCGCGTCTCATGCATGCGCCCTGCCCCTGCACATTAGAGACCCCAAAAACCAGTTGGTTGGAGGGAAGTGCGCATGCCTAAATGCACGGCGGAGCTGAGCTGGGGCGCGGCTTGCGTGCCTGCAGAGAGGACTCTGCATGCCACCTGTGGCACACGTGACATAGGTTCGCCAACACGGTTATAGAGATTCTCAGTCATCCAGGACATGTTTGTCCCAAAGGTGCTTTTTCAAGAGGCAACTGGACTTTCTGGTTTTTCTTTTAAGATGTTTTGCTTCTCATCCAAGAAGTTTCTTCAGTTCTGACTGGATGGTGGGGAATGGAAGGATTTATACTCCTTGCAGACAGTTTGGTCATTTGCATCCTTTTTTTAGAGAATCATTGAGGCTACCTGAAGGTTTATCTGTATTTATCTTCAGGGTCACCTGAATGGCACAAATGGGTGTGGAGCCTTCTTGGAACTTCAGTATTGTGGACTGAAGATTGATGATGTTGTATCCCTCCCCCTCTGTTGAGAGAGGGCTGCTCGATTTTGTCATAAAGGCCTCTTTGACCCGTGTTCTAAATCAGATTCTGAGGACACAGATAAACTTCCAAGTGGCCTCAATGACTCTCCAAAGAATGCAAATGACCAGCTGTCTGCAAGGAATATAAATCCTTCCTTTCCCCGCCATCCAGTCAGAGCTGAAGAAGCTTCTTGGATGAGAAGCGAAACATCTTCACAGAAAAACCAAAAAGTCCAGTGGCCTCTTGAAAAAGCACCTTTGGGACTCTGAGCTACAAATATTCTCTTCTATCAATACCAATCTAGGTTCATTGTCTAAAGCAGGAGTCTCCAACCTTGGCAACTTTAAACCTGGCGGACTTCAACTCCCAGAATTCCCCAGCCAGCAAAGCTGGTTGGCGAATTCTGGGAGTTGAAGTCCGCCAGGATTAAAGTTGCCAAGGTTGGAGACCCCTGGTTTAAAGACCAGAAGTTTCCACACTAACACTGAATCAGGAGAGTATCTACCAGTTTTACTTTCAGCTTTAAAATAAAACAAAGTTGAAGAAGGACCTCACTGCATTTCCTATACAGTCTCATCAGAACTGCCCCACATTTTTAAATAGATCATGGGAAATGAGATACTTAATAGTGTCCCAGATATGGCCAAAAGAAAAAAAAAACCTATAATCAGATTTTTTTAAAAGACTCTTTTTTAACTCCCAATGTGAAATCAATAAAAGATTTAACTAAACAACTAGGTATAGGTAGTCCTCGACTTACAACGGTTCATTTAGTGACCGTTCAAAGTTACAACCACAATGAAAAAAAAAAAACTTAGGACGATTTTTCACATTTACGACCATTGCAGCATCCCCACAATCACGTGATCAAAATTTGGATGCTTGGCACCTGGCTCAGATTTATGACGGTTGCAGTGTCCCGCGGTCATGTGATTCCCTTTTGCGACTTTCTGACAAAGCAAAGTCATCGGGGAAAACCAGCTTCACTGAACAATCGTGTTACTAACTTAGCAACCTCAGGGATTCACTTAGCAAGGCTGTGAAACGGGGCAAAACTCACTTAACAACTGTCTCACTTAGCAACAGAAATGTGGGGCTCAATTGTGGTCATAAATCGAGGCTACTTGTCTAAATGTACTCTTAAATCCCGCAAAAAAAACAGTCTTGTACTTCTCCCCTCAAGGATAATTAAGCTTATATCCTTTCATCTGTCTCTATTTTCATATCGTGCTGTGGCAACAAACAGCTGCAATCATCAGCTACCACTGAAGCATTCTAAGACAAGGGACCTTTTTTTTTTTTTGCCAATTCATTTCAAGGAAATGCGGTTCTTTTGAAATTCAGAGGCAATCAAGGACAATTAAATTCATCATTTGTTAGCAAAGGGGGTAGATTATAGATAGCTTGCTAGGAAACTGTCAAGTCGGTTTTGTGAATAATGGAAATAAAGAGAAGATGTGATCCTGCAAGGAACAGAAGAGAAGAGAAATCTGAATGACATCCCTCTTCTTGATCATGGCTTCAGTTCTCATGAAAACATTTTAGATACACAAGTGATTATGTTTTGAACATATACACTAGTGGCCAAAATTGTGGAAACCTTTTGGGAAAAGTGTATTTTTGAGGTTTGATGGCTAATAACACCATTTTTTTTTTCTTTTTGGAGTTTCAAGATAATCCTATTCCACTGCTGGAATGGCCTGGGAATAGCCCAGACCTTAACCCAATTGAAAATTTATGCAGCTGACTAAAGAAACTTGTTAGTCAGAAGCGACCCAGCAATAAAACCCAGTTAATAGAAGCCATCATTCAATCTTGGTTTCACATTAGAACGGCTGCAGAACTAAAAGGCTTGGTTCACTCCATTGGAAGGCGTTGTAAGGCTGTAATTCATGCTAAAAGTTACCCAACTAAGTATTAACTTTTAATTAATTTTTTTCTATGGTGATCATTTTTGTAGATCTTGTTTTTTCTATGTGTTTCACTTTTCTTCTTTCTACTGTAACTGCTATTCTAATAGCAAATCCTTCATAAAAGTTATTGTACTACATTCTTGATTAAATTATCTTTGCATTGATATATAGTTTTATGGTACTACTAATCCAAAATAAAGTGGTGTCATTAGCTAGTTTTAGAAAATACACTTTTCCCAAAAGGTTTCCACAATTTTGGCCACTACTTTTGGCCACTTAAAAGCATGAATAAGCTGTAATTGATTAAAAAATAGGTTGGATACAATTAAATTACAGAACCAATATTCTGCAGGGGGTTATAACTGCGAAAAAGCCCCAAAGACAATACAGGTAGTCCTCAACTTTCAACCATTTGTTTAGTGACTGTTCAAACTTACAACGGCACTGAAAAAAAAGTGACTTAGGACCGTTTTTCAGACTTACGACCATTGCATCATCCCCATGGTCAGGTGATCAAAATTCAGATGCTTGGCAACTGGCGTGTGTGTTCATGACAGCTGCGGGATCATGTGATCCCCTTTTGTGATCAAGCAAAGTCAATGGGGAAGACAGATTCACTTAACCACTGTGTCACTAACTAAACCACTGCAGTGATTCACTTAACAACGGTTAAGAAAAGTTGTGGCAAGTGGCAGGAAAAGTTGTAAAATGTGCCAAAACTCACTGAACAACTGTCTTGCTTAGCAACGGAAATTTAGGGTTCAACTGTGGTCGTAAGTCGAGGACTACCTGTAGACTAAGCCAAGCAAGAACAGACCACTCTGTTGTTTCTTCCTGTCTCCCTTCCTCCCGGCCATTCCCACTCCCCTCTTATAAGACAGACCCAGCCCTATATGGGCCATCCAGACCTGAATCATACATGGTACAGATTCAGAAAAGCAGAAGAGATGCAATGGCTCATATTCACACAACAGTCTGTCGCAAACCATTTTGATTTTAATGGTAGTTAATACAGGTAGTCCTGGGCTTACAACAATCAAGTGACCGTTCAAAGTTACAATGGCACTGAAAAAAGTAATTTACGACCAAGTTTTCACACTTAGGACCAGCAACCCCTTGGTCACGTGATCAAAATTCAGACGCTTAGCAACCGGCTCACATTTATGATGGTTGCAGTGTCCGGGGGTCATGTGATCACCTTTTGCGACCTTTCGACAAGCAAAGTCAAGGGGGGAAATGGATTCACTTCAACTATTACTAGCTTAACAACTGCAGTGGTTCACTGTCTTAACATCTAGGGCAGTGATGGCTAACCTTTTTGCTGTCACGTGCCAAAAGCGGGGGGAGCGCGGCGAGGTCGCCCATACATGTGCCCATATCCATAATTCAATGCGTCCCACTCTTGCGCATGTGCCCCCCCTTTTAGCACATGATGGCATAGTGGGCCCGGTAGGCCCATTTTTCACCCTCCCCAGGCTCCAGAGGCTTTCTAGGAGCCTGGGGAGGGCGAAAACAGCCTTCCCCATCTCCCCGGAGGCCCTCTGGAGGCCGGAAACAGCCCATTTCCCAACTTCTGGTAGGACCGGAAGGCCCAAAAATCAGCTGGCCGGCGCACACATGTGCGCTGGAGCTGAGCTACGGCAACGCTCGCATGCCAACTGATATGGCTCCAAGGGCCACCTGTGGCACCCATGCCATAGGTTCGCCATCACGGATCTAGGGCAAGAAAGTAAAAATAGGGCAAAACTCACTAACAACGGTCTTGTTTAGCAACAGAAATTTTGGGCTCAATTGTGGTCGTAAATCGAGGGCTACTTGTACACTTCTTTCTTTATCAACATTATAATGATTCAACCACCAGGACCTCAGGATTACAGATTTCATAATTTCTCAGTGAAAAAATTAGTCAAGAACAAAGCAAATCAGTCAATATTCATTCTCTGTCTCTGCCTCTCTCTCTGTCTCTCTCTTTTCTCTCTCTCTCTCCCTCTCCCCCTCCCTCCCTAATGGAGACAATGAAGAGCAGTCTGGCTATCAAAAGGTATTGGTTTATTACATAAAGGTGACTGGAACCTTGAGAGATTGTGTCTATGTTATCTTGGAGTTTATGATTACAAGAGGGGGAGGGGGGGGAGAGAGAGGGATCAGAAGGATAGACAGTACCGGACTTCAGAAAAAATAGATTTTTATCAACTCAAAATAAAAAATAAGGTAGGTTGGATCCAATGTTTAGATATTACAAAGGCAAAAGCTATCTGGAAAATCTTCCTGAAACAAAACATTTAAGTTGCAATTACAAACAGTTCCTATTAAAAGGAAAAATGGGAGACATCTAAATAAACCAGAGCCTGGATAGCTCTGCAGACAAGGCACTGTAATTTAACACCAGCTAATCTGCAATTAAAGTAAATTCGAATCTTGCCAGGCTCAAGGTTGACTCAGCCTTCCATCCTTTCTAAGGTAGGTAAATTGAGGACCCAGTTTGTGGGGGCAATAAACTGACTTTGTATAAAATATACAAAAGGATGAAGGCTATTGCTTAACGCACTGTAAGCCGCCCTGAGTCTCCGGAGAAGGGCAGCATATAAATCAAATTAAAAAAACAGGTGCGTATACCCAGGGATATCTAAATTGCCAAAAAGAAAAATACAGACAGAGAAAAAGGAAGAAGGGAAGTATAACCAAAGGATAGAAAGTAATTAAGAGAAACTACAAGGACTCTAAAAGGACAAATCTCAGAATATGTTAAGGGTAGAGAGACAGGTTTCTGCACCTTCAGAAACAAGAAAGGCAGAATGGTTGTATGCCCTAGATGTATTGTGAGGGGAAAAAAGGGCCGAATTGATGGGTTATAACACAAAAGCAGAAGGTATTACAGGTGGTCCTTGACTTATGACCACAATTGAGCTCAAAATTTCTGTTGCCTGATGGTGCCGTGGGTAGAATGCAGCATTGCAGACTAACTCCGCAGAGAGTCTGGAGTTCGATTCTGAGAAGGATCAAGGTTGACTCAGCCTTCCATTCTTCCGAGGTCACTAAAATGAAGAGCCAGATTGTTGGAGGCAATATCTCAGGGGCTGCCCCAAAGAAGGAAGAGTCAAGCTATTCTCCAAAGCCCCTGAAGGCATGACAAGAATCAACAGATGGAAACTAATCAAGGAGTGAACCAAACTAGAACTAAGGAGAAATTTTCTTTCAGTTAGAATAATTAATCAGTGGAACAACTTGCCTCCAGAAGTTGTGAATTCTCCAACATTGGACGTTTTTAAGAAGAGGTAGGACAACCATTTATCTGAAATGGTATAGGGTTTCCTGCCTGAGGAGGGGGTTGGACTAGAAGACCTCCAAGGTCCAACTTCCAACTCTGTTATTCTGTTAATACACTGCTCAAAAAAATAAAGGGTACACAAGCAGAAGACATCCGAGATCTGAATGAATGAAATAGCCTTATTAAATACTTAAATACAGTAGTTTTGTGTTCCCTTTAGTTGTTTGAGCAGTGTATAAACTACTGTATGTAACGAACAAAGTATTTAATAAGGCTATTTCATTCATTCAGATCTCGGATGTCTTCTGCTTGTGTTCCCTTTATTTTTTTGAGCAGTATATATTGACACTGTAAAACGCCCAGAGTGCTGTAAAGCAGCATATAAATGCTACTGCTATTTTATGACCGTGGCATTCACTTAACAACTACCATAAAAAATAAAAAGTTCATAAAATCAGGCCCAGTCATGTCGTGACCCGCTTAATGACCACCACAACTGACAACCAAAATTGCAAGCTCAATTACGATCGTTAAGTCAAGGACTGCCTGTACCATTGTAATATTTCTAAAATTAATGCAGGCCAGGCCAATGTATACATACACACACACACACACACACACACACACACACACACACACCATTGTGTGAATCAATTAGACATGCAAAAGTTTGAAAATATCACAGATATGGACTCCGAGCTCAAACTTCAGGTGCGCTTACTCTGTAGCTGAAGGTACATTGTCCGATACTGCAGATCCCAGAGGCTCGTCCCGAAATTTTTCACTCGGCAGCGGTGGCGGCAAAAAATCCACGTCTTTTTTCTTTGGAACCTTGTAATACTTCCACATGGAATCTGCGTCTTCTTCCTCCAAGTTCACTGCAGCCCCGACGTACATCGTGGGCTCCACGACGTCGGGAAACGTGGCGGGGAAATTCTGGGATAAGCCTTCTATCCTATCTTCCATGGCTTTTGAAGGAACCAAAGGATCGGGAGTCGACATTTGATAGAAATGTTGGCTCTGGGGCGTGGAAGGCGTTTTGGTTGCCCCCTCCTCCGTCGCGTCGCATGGGTGGGGACTGAGGGGCGGTGGCTGCGGGGAGCTCGCAATTTCCGTGGTGTGCATCTGAGGTGTCTTTGCTACCTCGTTAGTTCTGAGGTTTGAAAACCTCACTTGGCTGTCGGTGGTGGGGATTACCAGCCGCTGATTGGCCGAGTCGGTCTCCAGGATAACCTCGTCGCTGATGGACACTCGATGGTGAAATGGGGTTAAGGGACGCTTCTGGGGTTTGTCTCCTTTCTCTTGCTTCTCGTTGGCCTTGTGCTTTGTCGCTGGCTGGGGTTGCTGGCCGGCGGGAGGCACCGGCCCCTGCTGAACTGCGAGTCTTGGTTTGAGACTTTTGTGCCTGAAGGGAGGTAGAAAGATAACGGGATATAGGTCATCCACATTTTCAGCTGCCAAATCCCACGAGTTAAATAAACAGGCCACAAAAGGAAAATCAATCAACGGATACATAAACGTAAACACTGAGCCAGGAGGGCTGTTTGGCTTCACTGCTAATTAGAGCTATGAGTAGGGAGAGAGAATGGATGTAGTGCTTTCCCCCTATTTGCAGCTCCTCACGGTACTAACTGTAACGTTTGACCGTGCAGATAGTCCTCGACTTACAACAGTTCGCTTAGTGACCATTCAAAGTTACAACGGCACTGAAAAAAGTGACTTATGACCATTTTTTTCAGTTATGACCTCTTGCAGCATCCCCGTGGTCATGTGATTTACATTCAGATGCTTGACACTTGGTTCACAGTTGTGACGCTTGGAGTGTCCCGGGATAATGGGATCATATTTTGCGATCTTCTGACAAGCAAAATCAATGGGGAAGATGGAGTCACTTAACAACCGTGTTACTAATTTAAACAACTGCAGGGATTCACTTAAATAAATGTGGCAAGAATAGTTGTAAAATGGGGCAAAATTCACTTAACAAATTTCTCGCTTAGCAACATAAATTATGGGCTCAATTGTGGTCATAAGTCGAGGACTACCTGTAGTGAAGCTCCCAAATTTGAACTCATGTTTCAGTCCTGTAAAGCGGAGTTGAGGCCATTTCTTCATTAATAAGGAGACAACATCAGCTTTATTCATAGAGAAGCTGAAGATGGGGCGAAACAGTCATAATTTGGACCAGGCACATGTTTATTTATAACAGATCATAAATATAAAGGTATTATAGATACTGGTTATCTGTAATGCCTGGTCTTTGCAAATATATTTCAAATCACAATTTTACTATTAAGTTATACCCAACAAGGCAGGTAGGACCAGACAGTAGGCCAAAGAGAAGGGCCCTTTGGAGAGAGATTGTCCCACCTGGGAGAAGGAGTCAAGTAGGGAATTAGTCTGGAATCGATAGTCACAAAAGGGCACGGTTCAATACCCCTTAAATGCCTTTGAACTTTATCTAGTTTTTTTTCCATGGGGCAAAGTGCCAGTCGGAGAAGATTGCTGTGAAATAGGCATAGAGAAATAAAGCACAGGTAGTCCTTGATTTACAACCATTCTTTTAGTGACCATTCAAAATTACAAAGATACTGAAAAAATGATTTATGATCATTTTTCACGACCCTTGCAAGGATCCCCATGGTCACTTGATCAAAATTTGGACGCTTGGCAAGTGGCGTGTATTTATGACGGTTGCAGTGTCCCGGGTCACGTGATCACCTTTTGCGACCTTCTCACAAGCAAAGTCAATGGAGAAGCCAGATTCACTTTACCACCGTGTTACTAACTGAACCACTGCCGTGATTCACTGAACAACTGTGGCCAGAAAAGTCGTGGAATGGGGCAGAACTCGATTGTGTTTGTAAGTCGAGAACTACCTGTAATTAATTTATACTCGTGTGGATCTGGTTGTTCCCACCTGACAGCCCTGCAGTAAAGAAAGCCCCCCAAAATATGAAAGAGCACCTAGAGCTGGGTTTGCACAATACTGCATACAGACTCGACTAAAATGTCTTGATGAACCAGGCTACCGCATTAATCCATTTATTTAGGGAAGGAGGGGCATATTGCATGTAATGTGAACATAGCAACTGTGTTTTGTTAACCCAGGTTTCGGGTTTCACAGGTTGCATGAACCCGGCCAGAGTGGTAGACGACAGGTGCAGCAGCAAACAGTCCTGACGTCAGTAAGTGACAGAAAAGGACATGACAGGGCCAACTGGGACTGACTGCTCACCACAGCATTCTCTCTCTCTCTCTTTCTTCTTCTTTACATATCTAATATAGTCAGAGGGCAGCCAGCTGGAAATGTACATAATTACAGACACTCATTTTATTCCTTTCAGTATAAATATGCCTTTTCTTAACAAAGCGATGCAGGGTCGCCCTTAGGGGCCTTGTCAGAGCATGAAATCCAGTGTCTAAAATTACCCAGCTGCACTCCTGCGTCATAAAGAGATTTAAAACCAAGACAAAACAGGAAGAGAAGGGGCTGTCGAATACCCTTCCTTCCTTCCTTCCTTCCTTCCTTCCTTTCCTTCCTTCCTTCCTTCCTTCCTTCCTTGTGGGTTGATAAGAGTTATTTATTACTACAGATTACTCCTTGACTTACAACCATTCGTTTAGTGGTGCGATTCAAGGTGTTGGTTACCACCTTTAAAGCGCTCCATGGCATAGGACCCGGGTACCTTCGAGACCGACTTCTGCCACCAATAGCCTCCCACCGACCAGCCCGCTCCCACAGAGAGGGTCTCCTCAGGGTGCCATCGGCCAAGTTATGTCGGCTGGCGACACCCAGGGGGAGGGCCTTCTCTGTGGGAGCCCCAGCCCTGTGGAATGAACTGCCCCCAGAAATACGTAAGATCTCCGACCTCCGGGTATTTCGCTGCGCTCTGAAGACCCTGTTGTTCCGCCAGGCCGGGCTATTAACATAACGTTTTAAATTGGGGTATTTTAAATTTCTGGGATTTTAATTGGAGCCTAATTATTTAATGATTTTAAATTTTAACTGTTGTTTTGTTTCTGTGTTTTTAAATAGGCTGTACACCGCCCTGAGTCCTTCGGGAGAAGGGCGTTATAGAAATAAAATTATTATTATTATTATTATTATTATTATTATTATTATTATTATTATTGACTGTTCAAAGTTACACTGAATAAAGTGACTTATGACTACCCTGTTTCCCCCAAAATAAGACATCCCCTGATAATAAGCCCAATCAGGCTTTTGAGCGCATGGCAATAAGGCCAAGTGCTTATTTCAGGGTTCAAAAAAAAATATAAGACAGGGTCTTATTTTCGGGGAAACACGGTAGTTTCAGACTTATGACTGTGGTATGATCCCCATGGTTATGTGATCAAAATTCAGATGCTTTATGACACTTTCAGATATTTATGACAGTTGCAGTATCCCGGGGTCGTGCGATCCCCTTTTGCGACCTTCTGACAAGCAAAGTCAATGGGGAAGCCAGATTCACTGACCGACCATGTTACTAACTTAACAACGGCAGTGATTGACATAATAACTGTGGCAAGGAAGGTTGTAAAATGAGGCAAAATTCATTTAGCAACTATTCTGCATAGCAACAGAAAGTTTGGGCTCAATTGTGGTCATAATTCGAGGACTATCTGTACAGGTAGTTCTGAGTTTATGACAGTAATTGGGATTGAGAACGCAGTCGCTGAGTTCTCGATACCCAACATCATTATAAAGTACAATGTCACTTGACCCCACTGATTTATGACAGCATTTCCAGCAGTGATTTCTAGCTGTGATTGTTAGGTGTGGTGTCACAACCCTTTGCAACCTCCTGCTACCTTGGCTTCCCCACTGATGTCTCTTATCGGTGGCTGGCAGCGAAAATAGGAAATGGTGATCATGTGACTTTCACCATTGTAAATGCCTGCTGGCACCAAAAATTATGATCACATGACCGTGGGGACATTGCGACAGTTGCAACTTCAAGGACCCATCAGAAGTCTCCGTGTTTGGCACTTCAAATGGTCTCTGAATGAAGGATCGTTAACCGAGGACTACCGGTAACCGTCTGATGGGAAAGAATCTAGATGGAGGCATCCAAAAAGCAGTAACTAAATAGAGATTATAAATGAGGACGAATACACAATTTCATCTGAATCAAGTTCAACTTTTTATCATTTCACGGGCAAGCTCACGTAGCTTACTTGGCAACTACAAGTAGTCCTCGGCTTACGGCCAAAATTGAGCCCAAAATTTCTGTGGCTAAGCGAAGCATTTGTTAAGTGAGCTTTGCCCCATTTTACGACCTTTCTTGACATAGTTGCTAAGTGAATCATAGTAATTATTAAGTTAGTAAGAAAATTATTAAGTCAATCTTCCTCATTGACTTTGCTTGCCATAAGGTCGCTAAAGGGGATCACATGACCCCGGGATAGTGGAACCGTCATAAAAATGAGTCAGTTTGCGAGCGTCTGGATTTTGATCATGTGACCATGGGGATTCTGCAATGGTCATTAAATGTGAAAAACGGTCATAGGTCACTTTTTTCAGTTCCATTGTAACTTTGGACAGTCACTAAATGAACTGTTGTAATTCAAGGACTACCTGTATAGAGAAGTAGCTTGCCACGGCCTTCTTTCAGAGAGGCTTTCAACCTCCCAGTCTCGTCAATAGCCCTAGAGTTTTCTAATGGTTTTCCATTCCAGCACTAATCTGATCTGATCGGTCTCTGGAGATCAGCAAAATTTGGCTGATTTCAGGTAGTCCTCGATTTACAGCCATTCATTCAGTGACCATTCAAAGTTACAACGGTGATGAAAGAAGTAACTGATGTTCAGTTTTCACAGTTCTGGTGTTGCAGCATCCCTGTGGTCATGTGATCAAAATTCAGCCGCTTGGCATGTATTTTTAGGGCGGCTGCATGGGGTCACATGATCACCATTTGTAACCTTCCCTTCTGATATGCAAAGTCAATGGAGGAAGCGAGATTTGCTTAGTGATCACGTGATTCATTTAACAACAACTGCGATTCGCTTAACAACTGTGGCAAGAAAGGTCATAAAATGGAGCAAAACTCATCACTTCACAACTGTCCTGCTTAGTAAAGAAATATTTGGGCTCAATTGTCGTCATAAGTCGCCAGCTACCTGTTTGTCTCATATCTTACTTTGAGAAAGTGACACATTTAAACCAATCGTGCTGGCAAGCCATTAGCTTCTTATTGTTTTAGAATAGAATAGAATAGAATAGAATAGAATAGAATAGAATAGAATAGAATAGAATAGAATAGAATAGAATAGAATAGAATAGAATAGAATAGAATAGAACAGAACAGAACAGAACAGAACAGAACAGAACAGAATTCTTTATTGGCCAAGTGTGATTGGACACACACGGAATATGCTCTCAGTGTACATAAAGAAAAAATAAAATATATTCATCAGTAAAATATATTCATACAATGGACCCTAAAAGGCCTCTGCCTGTTTTCACCTATCAAGTTCTCCTACCTGGAACATGTGCAATTGGCCCTCTGTGCAGCTTCAACGAAGTCCCAAAATCCCATTTTCTCAATTGTCTCCTCTTCACATAAGCCATTTGATGTAGCAGAATACTTCCTTCTACATTGCATTCAAGGAAAAAAAAAACATTCTTTAAGTGTAGGAAAATATATTTAAAAAGGCGCTAAACTGGTCTTCTATATCTCTACTGGAACTGAAATTTCCAGTTTGTTAACTAGGAATTCTAGGGCCTAACAACCTGATTTTTTTCCAGTTCTTTCTCTTCGACTCTGGCATCTCCTGGTACCGCAATGTCAATAAATTGTCCATTTTTCTATAACTTTTTCTACTTTATGTTCCCATGACTTTTTGGATACAGGAAAGTGGTGTTTTTTACATAATGACCAGTGGATTAATTTAGCAACTTGGTCGTGTCTATCATCATCATCATCATCATCATCATCATCATCATCATCATCATCATCATCATCATCATCATTTCTAAGATTTGGGTTAGCCTTCCTCTAGAAATTAGACTGGCTTTCATGCTAACAGCCTTCTAGAAGCTAACAAAGACTGAACATCCCTGTAGAGCTTTTGGGATGTCATTATGGTTACAATTATTCTGTCCTAGTTGCTGTAGTTGGTTTTCACCTGAAAACTAATTTTGGGTTTATAGACTTTTGTGGGATAAATGTATTTGCTTACTTCAAATGTTTGATAGTAATTATCTTTCTTCCCTTCGGATGCTTCATTGTATGTAATGTCATAATCCACTAGGAACCAGAATGATTTGGCAGCACATAGATTTAATTCAATAATTATTATGGATGTTATTTATTAGCCTCTAATATCACAAGGTATTTACTGGGAATTTCTGTGTGACTGTTTTAATTATCAAAGAACTTTAGCATCTCCATGACTTACAATCAGGCTCCCCAAAGCACTTGGCTGAAAAGAATACTGGAATAATCCTGAGCCAGCAAATCAATTATTAAGCTTTAGATAATCTTTTTGGAAGCTGATGGGTATATTTCAATTTAGATCCATACCTACAATACGGAAACAAGCCAGCAGTATTTTCTTCCTATCCCATAGGGATCAACTGAGCTGCATTTTGATGTTCTTACCAAATGTCAAAAATAAAATAAAAACCACCTACTTGGTCAGTGCTCTGTTCATATTGCATTCTTGCCAAACTCTGTCAACCACCTGATTGGCCAGCTTTCGAGGGATCCTCCCCCCGTGGTGATTAGTGCTGTCACAACTGAACACATCGGAAACCGAAGACAGCTTGACCCACTTCTGAGCTGAACGAGCATCAACTGAAAAAGGAAGCCAAAGCAGGAGTCATCTCATTATTACATTGTATCTACCCCAGGGGTCTCCAACCTTGGCAACTTGTGGACTTCAACTCCCAGAGATCCAGCAAAGTTGGCTGAGGAACTCTGGGAGTTGAAGTCCACAAGTTGCCAAGGTTGGATATCCCTGATCTACCCCATAATCCGCTAAACCGTGGATCGGCACCGGTCCGTGGCATTCCAGAAACAGGGCCGTGCAAACAAGCGAAGTCCCATCTGCAGGATGCAGACAGCATGCGAAACCACGCTCCCTCCAGTCCACGGAAAAACCTCTCTCCACAGAACCAGTTCCTGGTGCCCAAAAGGTTGGGAGGCCGCTGCTTTATATGTTTTAGCCTCCAGTCCCCTACTCATCTTTTACAACACAAAGCATATATGTGAATGTATTACACTTCATTGTGGCAGCTTTACTAGATATTACCGGTCCTAACATGCGCTAAACATCAGGATAAAAGACCATGTCAAAATAGTTGAAGTTCTTCTACTCTGGAGATTCAAAAGACAAATTTTAAGAGCGGTACCCATTCTGATAGGTAAATAATTATTTTTACTCTACCTGTCTGAACTTCTTCTGGGGAGGTCGGTGGCGTGAGAGTAACTGAGGAGATAGCTGGATCTCTTGTGGAAACAGGCACTTGATGGACACCCAAACAGTTGCTTGAACCAGTAGTGCTAGGAACAGGAATGTCTGTCTGAGGAACCAGAACAAAGCATGCTGGGTAGACCATTCGCACACCAGCTTTAAAGGGAAAAAAAAAAGGAAACGGTGATTTATTTCACAATCCAGTTGAGTTACAGATACACTAGCACAGGAGTCTCCAACCTTGGCAACTTTGCTGGCTGAGGAATTCTGGGAGTTGAAGTCCACAAGTCTTAAAGTTGCCAAGGTTGACCCCTGCACTAGCAGACATTATATAGCAATATGTTTGTACTTATTTCTCCTCTAATGCCAGATGGCTCAAGTCTTTTCACTCCCTCTGTTTAAATCCTCGCTGAGAATTATGGGGTTCACAAATGAAACTATTAGATATTAGGAAATTAGTTCAGAGTGTGCGAGTCCAGCCATTGTAGCTTATTTTTAAAAACATAAAACAATATCAGTAGCCCTCACCCTTGCAACAGTGGTGAAATGCTACCGGTTCGCACCAGTTCGGGCAAACCGGTAGTGATAAAAACTACCGGTTCAGGCAAACTGGTAGTAAAAAAAAAAAAAAGGTACCAGTTCCTTCAAACCAATATTTCTGACTATCAACTGTGCCGCACAATTTAAAATCACTAGAAAGCAGGAAATCCTGCTTTCTAATGAATCTAAATCGCGCGGCACAGCTGATTCCCCCCCTCACTGTTCTACTTAGCTTCCCAAGCCTCCTTTTGGTGTGTACTGTGCATGCGTGCGTGCGCAGGGTGTGTTTGCTATGCACTGTGCATGCTAACCACGCGCTTGGCATGCACCACGCATGCACAGCCAGTGAACTGGGGACAAACCGGTTCAGATTTCACCATTGCAACCATTCATTTACCAACTGCTCAAATTTACAATGGCACTAAAAAAGTGACTTATTACACGTATGACTGCTGCAGCTTCCCTATCAGAGGTGAGTTGCAGCAGGTTCTGACCAGTTCTGGAGAACCGGTAGCGGAAAATTTGAGTAGTTCGGAGAACCGAATTCTGACTTGCCCCACCCCCATCTATTCTCTGCCTCCCAAGTCCCAGCTGATCGGGAGGGAATGGAGATTTTATAGTATCCTTCCCCTGGAGTGGGTTGGGAATGGAGATTTTACAGTATCCTTCCCCTGCCACGCCCACCAAGCCATGCCACGCCCACCAAGCCCCACCCACAGAATCGGTAGTAAAAATTTTTGAAACCCACCAGTTCCCTATAGTCACATGATCAAAATTTAGGTGCTTAGCAACTGGCATGTATTTATGATGGTTGCAGTGTCCCGGGGTCATTGATCATCTTTCGTGACCTTCTGACAATCAAGGGGGAAGCCAGATTCATTAAACAATCGTGTTTCTAACTTAACAACTACAGTGACTAACTTAACAACAGCAGTAATTCACTTAACAACTGCGGTAAGAAAGATCCTAAAACAGGGCACAACTCAAGTAACAACTGTCTTGTTTACCAACAGAAATTTTGGGCTCAATTATGGTCATAAATCAAGCATTAGTATAACATAAACACAACCAATATGGCTGGATAAATATCCCCCACGCCATGAATGAAGACCCTCCTGGTTAACATCTAAAAATGGTAGAAAAATATTCCATCCATCCATCCATCCATCACACACGTGTGTGTGTTTGTGTGTGTGTGTGTCTGTCTGTCTGAATTTCTATAGTTGCCCATTCCAACCAAACGATTATTGCAGCTTACACTTCTAAAACTATAAAACAATTAAAAACAATTAACTGGGTGGAAAAATCCAGAAAATAAATACATACAGTAGCCATTTTTGTTATATACTTGGATGGGGGTTTCCTGGGATTTGGGAGGAAGTTTGGAACTTTTTTTGCCTTTTAAAAGCCATATTTAACACGACATACTACAAGATTCTGGGTGTTTCCCTGCAACTGCAGGAAATTACATTGGGTGTTCATTCTGTAGGTATCACTCCTAGTTTCAGCCAAACCAGAGTGAGACTTGGCCTAGATCACATGAACCAAATATACATCTTAGACAATGTGCGGTGACTAAACAGTCAACAGAGGAACCTGCACGAGAATAGTGTCCTCACAGTAAAAGCACACCCTCCTCCCCACCTCTGATTTCTGACTTTCCATTTCAAAAAATGTACAACAACATTGCACTCATGTGTGCTGTTAACTACAAGCCATGGGATATGGGACTTTTAGAAATTTACTCATTTTTCTGTCCTTAGAATCATAGAAAGCCAAGGAATGGTTTGGAAAATTCAATTACTGGCTTCTCCATTTAAGTTCAATAATGCATGGTATACGATTCTCTTCAGCTATGAAACCTGAAACTACCTCTGTTCTCACATATAAATCCATGAGGAACCCTCTCATTTTGTCTCCGTCTCGATTATCTTCAGAGCAGCGCTAGGCTAAAAGCATGTTCCTTGTCAGTGATGTAATATAATTTATCTACCTTTTTCTGTTCCTCCACCAAAGCAATAAAACTCTTTTTGGGGGGGGACATCTGGGCCGTAAATCCTACTCTAGTTGGGTCCACAATAATGCCCCTCTCCTGTGCCAAGCTACTTAAATTTTAATCCATCTCACTGTCATCTTTTTTAAAAAAAAAAAAAAGTTGCATTGTACCAAGCAAGCCTAATGTGGCTGACAACTGTTCTGACATCCAAAGAGCAGGAAGATTATTTGAGGCAAGACTTCAGATAGTTAATCAAAGCTAAACAAGGACTTCCTTAAATTACTTACATCCTACTTCTAGAATGGGTAGGGTTTTTTCCTTCTTTGGAACTCAGAAAGCTAGGGATGTCAAACTCAATTTCATTGAGTGCCACATCAGGGCTGTGGTTGATCTCTTGGGGGGGGGGGGCAGGAGGCGTGGCCAACTGAATGGGCGTGGCTAGCTTGAACGCCACTCTCCAAATCGCTGGCATGTTTCCTCTTCGCATTGGGTAGACTGGGCCAAAGCCACGCGGGCTGGCTCCTTACATTTTCCCGGACAGCCCCATGGGCCATATCCTTGTGTTTTGACACCCCTGTTATAAAGGGTTCTCCGGGATAATTTTATACTCCCAAGAACCTTAAAAGAGAGAGTGAATGTTTCACTTCTATTTAGATCAGCTGCTCAGAATTTAAATGTAGCTCCAAATGAACAACCAACCAAACGACCAACTATCACACTGCCACACAAGACATTTATAAGCTAAGAAGAATAGGACAAAACAATCCTGCTGCTGATGTTACCTAGTCTGGTAATGAAACGTTCAAGAAACTAAATTGAAACAAGCTTGGAGAGGAAAACAACTGCCAAAATCTAAAAACCCGAGCTACCAGTATTTTCTATTACCGTATTTTTCAGAGTATAAAACGCATCTTTCCCCCCCAAAAAGAGGGTGAAAATCTGGGTGTGTCTTATACTCCAAATGTAGCCCTGCCCAGCTTCTCAAACCGAGGTTTCAGAGGCTGAAAAAAGCATCAGAAACGAAGCTTCAGAAAAGAAGCCCCCAAACAGAGTTTCAGAGGCTTTTTTTCTGAAGCTGTTTCGGAGGCTTTCAGAGGCTAAAAAAAAAAAAGCAAAAAAAAAAAAAAAGCAAGGCACAGAGCTCACAACCAAGGAACCTGTTGTTAAAATTCACCTCTGGGAACAGCTGATTGGAGGTATTTGATCCACCCACCAATCAGCTTTTTTCTTATTTTCCTCCCCAAAAACTAAGGTGCATCTTATACTCCGGTGCGTCTTATACTCCAAAAAATACAGTATTTCTATTTAGACCTTTCTAACCTAATACAGGTAGTCCTTGACTTACAACCAACAATTGAACTGAAGATTTCCGTTGCTGAATAGGACAGTTACCACCTTTTCCCCCCCACTGTTATTAAATGAATTGCTGTAGTGGTTAAGTTAGTAACACGGTTATTAAGTGAATCTGGCTTCCCCCTTGACTTTGCTTGTTGGAAGGTCACATAAGGGGATCGCATGACCCCGGGGACACTGCAACCGTCATAAATACATGCCAGTTGCCAAGCATCTGAATTCTGATCACGTGACCGTGGGGATGCGGCAATGGTCATAAATGTGAAAAATGGTCATAAGTCACTTTTTTCAGAGTCATTGTAACTTCAAACGTTCCCTAAATGAGTAGTTGTAAATTGAGGATTACCTGTATGTGTTAAATATGGTTTTGTTTACCCAGATTGTAAACAAATACGCTCTAAAGCAATATGCTACATAGTAGTGGTTCTCAGCTTGTGGCCCACGGACCCCTGGGAAGCCACAATGTCATCACGGGGGTGGCCGCAAAGGTTTGAAGAAATGTTATGATTTAAATATTGAGTTAAGTCTTGGGCATCCATGGCCACAAAAGGTATTTAAAGAGTGAAAAAAAGATTGAGAACCATTCCTATAAAGCACTATGGAACAGTATACAGGTAGCCCTTGAATTACAACCAAAAGTGAGCCCAACATTTCTATTGTTAAGTGAGACGTTTGTTTAGTGAAGTTTGCCCCATTTTATGACCTTTCTTGCCACAGTTAAATGTATCATTGCCAGTGTTACCGGTAAGTTAGTAACACGGTTGTTAAGGGAATCTGGTCGTCGTCGTCGTCCCGCCCCCCCCCCCCCCCATTGACTTTGCTTGTCAGACGGTCGCAAAAGTTGATCACATGACCCCAGGACACAGCAAGCATCATAAATATGACTCGGTTGCCAAGAGTATGAATTTTGATCATGTGACTATGGGGATGCTGCAAAAGTCGTTAAGTGTGAAAAACGGGCATACGGCACTTTTTTTCAGTACCTCTGAAACTTTGAATGGTCCCTAAATGAACTATTTATTGTAAGTCAAGGACTACCTGTGTAAATCTATGTGCTTTTGCTATTGTTTCAATGGTGGAAAGCAATGATCATGGATTAAAGCGCCAAAGAGATTTTGTATGTGGTTTACTTAAGAAAAGATAATTATTCTCATTATCTTATTAGAACACATTTTTTAAAGATGTAAGGTGTGTATTTACCACCTGAACATTAAAAGAATGCGTATTTGTAAGTGAAACACAAGTGAAGTGAAGTGAAACAAGCGAA